CTTGGCCTTGCTGCCTCCCACATGTTCGGGTCCTGGAAGTTGCGGTAACTATAGGACAGTTAGATCTCAAGTTGCAAATTATTGGCATAATCTTTCAAAACATACGTTTTTACGGGGTTTATCGACCACCGACCCTTCATAGCCAAACCCCATACCCTCATTGCTTTGCCGTAGACGGAACCTTGCGGTGGTGTGAGAATGTATAGATTGCGGCAGAAGTATAAAACGGCTGGGCAAAGGCAGAACATGACCGTCGGTAGTGTGTAAGACAAGTAAAACCCGACGTATTTCTCGGCGTAAACCATAGAAATCTGACCAACAAGGGCACCTATATTGATCATGAGATAAAAGTAATGATAGATACGGGAGACAGTTGCTGCAGGGTCAACAATGACTCGCTCGCCGTCTTTCGTGGTAGAGATGTACGGGTGAGTTTCAGTATACTGCTCTGCAATCAAGGGGGAAATGTTGGATCTATAATCCGTTAGTAACCAGTACTGGGTTGGTGGACGAGCGACATACTTGAAACCTCCAGTTCCGATACCCATGATAATCATACCAACAGCGAACGCACCGATTGCGCTATTGCCTTTGGCAATCACCGGAGGAATTGCAGAGATGATGAGGATAATGTGGCCGACCAATGCACAACCGATGGAATACATAATTGTCTTAAAACGGCCCAGGTGTTGATCTGCGACCCAAGCACCAGCCAATGGCATAATGTAAGACCAAAACTGGTTAACTGTTTGAAAAATCAGCAAGTATTCAAATATAGAGCTCTGGACCTCCTAGGCGACTTACATAGTGTTAAACCAGTCGATGCGCGCTGACCCAAGCCCAAAGCACCCGAGATCCTGTCCGTACCACCGGCACCTGTCGTTGATCCCTCTGGAAGGGGACGTTGAATAAAGTTGGTAACTGAAGAGCCATTTGTCAATAACTCCTAAACAATGCTGATGAGGCCACGATGTGCTACATACAGACGTTAATTGTGCCGTAGTAGGAGAACCGTTCGCACAATTCGACAAAGGCAATACTGAACGTGATCCAGGGGATCTTGTCTGCAACTCGGCGCAGGGTCAACATTTCTTCGTCGGTGGGCATCTCTCGACGAAGGCCCACGCCTTCATCATCGCTCCCATGGCGACTTCCGCCTCCAAGCTGTACCGACATTTCCTTCTCATCGAGAACGCTGGCAAGGTGTAGGTGACCGTCACCACCCTTGTGGGGGTCGACGTGGACTGGCTCCGGAGCTGACATTGTCTTCGAATGGATGGGAGTAGGTGCCCTTGGCTCAGGTTGAATAGGGGGAATCAACACCTGAGACTGAGGACCAGATAAATTCTGGCGCAGGAAGCGGGAAGCTCCCTTCTATATGTACGGGGTAAGCATAGTGCCACATATCGTGCGAGGGTGGCTCGATGCAACCCCGCTTGTAGCCGTGGATTGGTTCAAAAGGATTCTCGCAGGAAAACTTCGAGACGATTTTGCCATCATCCCTTGCCACTACACAAAATTGAGCAACTGTCTGGGGGTACCTGACTGGGGTGGGATCCGTCTCTCCAACTACCCAGACGCCCAGGCTAAGAGAGGTAGTAGGCGTGGGATAAATTCCCTTCTAATGGCCCCGACGGACACGGTACAGAAAATCTCACCTCCCAACCAGTGGACACCAAAGCGCCAAGCGATGCTTCCCAGTCCAAAATGTCCCGCATGTGTCCCTGCAAAGCCAAGAGCGGAGAGAGTATGATTTTCTCTGCGAATGCTTCTCGCGGTCCCCGTAATGTCCTTCAGTCGTGGTAAATTACATAGCGTGCTGGTGGATTCGCCAATGACTTGGCGGAGACTTGGCGGAACGGATCTTCGCCAAGCCTTAGACACCGGGAATTTTTCAGGGAGTTCCTGAAAGGAAAATGATTGTGAGAAAAGAAAGAGAAAAGAATCAAACTGTTGAACCAGCAGGCATAGCTCGGCAAATGGTATAAGACCACACTAAGACGAAGGTCCCGGAATTTTGCTGGTTAGAGTGGGAGGTCTCGAATCTCATTTTCGCAAAGAGGACTCATGTGCTAGAGAATACGGATGAGGTCGCCGAGTTGTCTCGCATATGACCATGTACAGCCCAATATTCTTCTTGTCTTGAAGAGAGAGATGCATCTGCGTCGTATCTGAATCTGATTTCAAGCTGGCGTTTCCAACCAATAATAGATCTTCCCCAGAGGCACCCTGTTCAGGATGTCAGTTTCCGTGTGACGTTAAAATGAGATCTCGTTAAAACCACCAAAGCAATCTGGAGTCTTGGGATAAGCCGGTCATGATTGGCTGAGGCATGACAGGAGGTTGAGCACCCTTGTAACCCTGTGGAAGAGGAGGCTCACTGTTTATCTGGATTGGGTCAAGGATTATTCCAGAACAAGTTCTTGCCCTGGGAAGCTCTCATGGAATTGGAGGCTTTTCTTTTCAGGGTTATTATGATATTATTATTAATATTATTATATCGACGAAGGAGTTCGAAGATTTCAAGGAATCCACAGCCTTGGCGGTCATTGTGGGAGTGTATCCTCTTTTCGCCTCTTATTTTGCTCCGTTGAAGGGGAAGTGACCGGGAAAATGCGAGGGCTCTTGAAGCCGAGTCACATGTTGGGGGCGCTGATACCTGAGGGTTGAGTCTGGAGAACCCCGGTCGGCGCTGGCGAAAAGTTTTGGAATTTGGACCATCGACCTTGGATCCAGGGAAGCTAAATTTGTTCCACTGAGCTTCTAGTCGCATATTGTCGCCCCGCTGCCAACATGCGATCTCCCTGATCAGCACGTTAAGCAGCCACATCTCAATCGCCTCTCGCTTGGCAAAGCTGTCCGTTCACGTCCCATTACAACGCTGCACACGCTTGTTTAGTAATAACCGTCGGTCGAAAGTCGAGAACAGCGACCTGAAGCGTCCAGCTCGGATGGGCCAGAACGTCTCGAGGGCAGAAGCAGAAGCAGAAGAGTCAAGAAGAGGATGAGGGTCAGGACCGCGAAGAAGGGAGGTTGACGGATTAAGGTTGCTGTGGCTTGGCGCATTTTAGTGATCATACCCAAGAACTCCGCCTAAGCCAGAGACGGTTAGCGGCGCCGCGTGCAGTTCCCCCAAAGTTACGGTATCATGGCGGTAATTCCGAGTACGAAGGGGTGGGACTCGATTAAAAGGCCATTCGATATCAGAAACGACGATGGCTTCAACGCCGACCAAGCCATGGCCTGTTTCCCGGCCTTCGAAACGAAGCACCACTACCTGATTCGTATCGGACACTTCGCACGCAGGAGGAGCGAACTGTTCAACGGCCCTTCGCACCTAAGCTTTGCCAAGTCAGCAGCCTCAACGCCTTGAAACTCTTACCTCGCAGTTCTGTGGAAGACGCTGAGATGCAGGAGATGCATAACTTCCTGCGGAAGTCAAACTCTCAGTTGGTAATATCTGAGTCTCAAGCAAGCTGAGCTGCGGTGCAGCTTTTTTGCGAAATTCGAAACTCCCACCCAAATGCGGAGCTCTAGGTCACTGGGGATATTACCACCAAACCTGCGCATTGACTGTTACGACAGTACTAGGTTGTAAAGCTATCGGCCAAATGAGCTGTCGTCAAACGGGCTCATAACCTGCGCTTCAGCTTTTCCAACCCCACGTGGAAAAACAACATCTGGCGGGATATGGCCCTCCGGGGGTTTGGAATTGCGCCCTGTTTTCAGCCCGATATTCCTTGGATGGAAGTCATTATACCCCTTCATATACAGGCTAAACTTTTGGGCACCGGTAATCGCTTCACGTGTCGTTCGTCTTGGCTTTTCTGGACGACATGACAAGATGCCCTTCGATGTTTTGTTTCTCGAGCTCAAGGGATGCGATGCACGCTTTCACTCCATCGATCAACAGGCCCAACTCGGAGATTTGCAACCACGCTTTGGCCTTCTTGCGGAATCCTACTCTAGATGGCCAATGACAGGTCAGAATTGGCCAACAACTCACCCAAACCTTGCTGGTGGAGACAATCATTCCACCTCCGCATTTCCCGACCAGTAGCTGTCAGATTGGCTTCTTTTGATGACCATACCAGCTCTCTGATAGGAAAAAAATTGTCGCAAGCCAACCATTCAAAGCCCGACTCTCCAACTCGTCCGTGGCGTGTCCTCGTGATGGAATGGCACGTGTGGCGGGGAAACAAGGGGAGATCTGAACCAACATATCGCGTATGCTTAGAACAGGATATTCCAGGCTATGGTTTCCAAGAAAATCCCCAGATGTCTTTGAACTAACTACAACGAGAAGGTTGTCTGCCTCCAAGGTCGTATTTTACGACTGCCCAACGGCGGCTATTATATTTTTAATGGCGATTCCTTTTGGTCTGTTCCCCAGAACTTCCCCAAACCCAACTAACTAGTTAACTAGCGCCCGCAGTAACTCGCGGTGTCTTGGCAGTGGTTGTTTTTCAATTGAGATTCTCGGACCTTGAGCATTTCTAAGATTGCCTTTAAAACCCTGGTCAGAGCCAGGGGGCTTGATTGTTTTGATCTCAGTCGGTGAGCTCGACCCTGAATGGCCCGCAAAGATTTATAATTATCGCCACGCTGTTTGGCTAGTTGGACTTTTGCGACAACATGGGGTGCCCATCTATATGGACATCGTTCACGAAGCTTGAGGGGAACCAAGCTCTCGGGATATCGTTGGAGATTTAAGGAGTCGATAAACGGAGAACCCGATGAACGCGTCACAACTAGCTGGGAATCCTTTCCTTTGGTTTTAGCAGCAACACTAGTAAATGCCTAGGAGCAGGTTAACAGCTGCTTTCACTTTGAGGATGGGGCTTTTCGACGATGGGTTTGGATTCAAAAAAAGGCCTTCAGTATTCTTCAAAGGCCTCGACTTTAATTCCCAGAAGCTGGTATTACGGGCTTTTGCTATCAGAGAGCTATCATAATCCAGATGACCGACCAGAAGCCAACCGCCCTTCTAGCCCTTGCGAGACAACCTTCCAAGTTTCCATTACTCAATTTCTTTATAATGTGGATCACACCCAACAATACCCACGGATACTGTTGATGATAACCCATCATTGATATCCAACGGATAACTGGCTCATCGGACAAAGATCCCAATGTTCAGCCCATGCGTTGCCTACTTCCTTTTCCGGGCGAATTGCTTATTGGGTTGCATTTCCATCTGAGTACATGGAATCAAGGGGGCCTATCTACGCCATTAACATGATGGGGTTTTGCCCCGCTGTTCCGATCGGTTTCTTCTACGCTTACTACATTATTGCCTGGGGGGAGTTGGTAAGTGCGGGATAAAATGCAGAGTCTGGGTGATGGATATGGAGTACATTGTCTTTCGGGACCTTGCAGTTAGCATTCCCCCAGGTTCGTGGGGTTGATTGATTTTCATTGCAAAAAGAGACAGCATCATGACAAGTAAATTTTGTCATCAGAGCAGATTGAAAAAAATAGTGTTTGACAAGAGGGAGATTCGAACTCCCGCGGGTTGCCCCACCAGAAAACACACCATCTTGGGAGATGGGCAAGGTAACTTGGGTACGCTTGAGTCTGGCACCTTAACCGCTCGGTCATCTTGCCTTGGTTTCAATTCCAGCGAGTTTTATTACCAATATGCACCAATTAGTCAGTTTAATTTGCCACCGAAAGATTCCTGGCTTTCATATTCAGCTCCCTGTCTGAAGTATGTTGAATGAAAGCCGCTCAATTATTCCACAATAGATTTCATTTTGCAATTCCTCCTCCGATACCTTGCGTCTATCAAACTTGACTTTGAAGGCCTGCTGCGGTGACATTCCGCTCCGTTGACCTCGGGATCCCGCCACGTCACGTGTGCCACGAGGAAATCCCGCCCAACGCTTCTTGGCGGAGGAACAACAGCTGTGACTTGCCTACCTATCTACTCCGTAGGTCTGCATGCACGGAGCCAACGAAGACTGTCTGGCAGTCTACCCTTGAACTATAATCTCTGATGCTTGATTCCGCGTTATTTTTCAATTGGCATTTTATCCCTGATAACTTTATCCGGCGGATAGGTACTGAATTAAGTACACGATACTGGTGGCTTGTTCTAGATAAAAAGCCTTCAAATCCTCCAAGCATAATGCATCAGGCCTGCCGGACCACATCAGGCAGGCGTACGACATCTTTGAAGTTCAACACTTGCGCAGATATTAGCGCTTGCCTAGTTTTCGATGGGCAGACACACACAATCATCCACTGCTCTTTAACATTAGAATGGGTATGCTTCAAAAACCAATATATATCAGGAACGCCACCAAGCATAACACCGACTCACAACATGATGGGTACCATGCGCTGTTCGTGCAATTGCCTATTATGTCGTACAACTTTTACAGAGTTAGCTGCATGCATGCATTTTCGCGCACAAACAAAAAGTTGTGGCGGATATATGTTCTCCATACCCCACTCTTGCTCCATGAACTTGATCATACTACAACTCTTCTCGAGCCTGAACATAGTGAAACGGGTACCGGCAAAATGGGGATCAGGCCTGTCTCTAACTTCTAGTTATAAGAAGCACAAGGTTGACAAATCCCATATGGGCACGGTTGCTGCGACGTACCAGGGAGCCGCGAATCACTTTTTGATCCCAACAACAACAAGATTTCTGGGGCTTTGCGCATATTCGAAAACGGGCTCGACCCAGGCATGTTTCACCACCTTTTGCTCACGCAGGAAGAGCCATCGGTCAGTCACTATTATCGATTCAGCCACCCCGGCACTAAAGGCCATTAACGTCCATGCGATGCTGAGTTGCTTTTTTGCAAATTTGTACTTGTTAACGTATTCGTTCAAGTCGTCATCGGAAATGCCGGCGACCTTGCGCCTAATCGATTCTCCATGCTGAGGGTCGTGTATCAATTTTGATATGGCGGCGCGCGTATACGCAGAAAATGATTCAAAAGCCGACTTTCTCAAGGAGCCGACGATAAGAGGAGTTCCCGGTGTGTCACCCGTATTCGCCAATCCAGAAGCAGAGTCCTGCACTGACCCAGGAACAGGAATAACTTCATAGTCCACAAGGATTCGTTGCAGAAGCGCACGATAAAAATGGCGAGTAAAAAACATTTCGCTATCTTCCGGACCCCAATTATACGGGGCTTGCACAGCCATCATCCTCGCGGTGATATTCAGCCGGATCCCGTTCCCGCCGTCATGAGTATACTGCTCCATGCATTGCGACATAGGGAATCCGTGGGGATCGTACGCTGTAGATGTCTTCTCCAGCCGAGGATGGAGAGAACGGAGGATGGGAAGTTTGTAAGTCATCGGGCCGAGTCGTTCGGTCATGAGATTGTAGCAGCAGCCGATCATGGCTATCGCAACCACGGATGGATTCATAACCAGGGACCGAATTCCGTGATGGACCAGATTACCGCAGGAATGCAGTGATACCACCATTACTTGCGAGGAGGAAGGAGATAAAGCCGTTTCAGTTGGCATGAGATTGAGCGCCTTGAGGCTTTTGATTGCGGTATTATCTTGATCTTCCACAGCTGACATTGGGATGTCCTTAGAAGGTTCGACTATATGGCGTATTATGGGTTCCAAATACCCATCTTGGATATCATGTTCGACGTAATGCATACACCCCAATATCGATTTTCCATTGGGGCTAGCCTGGCCTGGATTGGCATCGGGCTCCTCGACGACATCTATGACAGTTGCCACTTCGTCCTGATTGATTGCTACACCGTCCGGCGTTGAGACTCCAGAATTTGAATCTAGTTCGTCGGGGTCAATCCCCATTAGCCTGGCCTTGAACTCCTTCTTGTTCCGCAAGGTGACGGTTTTCTTCGCTAACTTGGCATGAATGTCTTTTCCCTTTGCACTTGTAATATTATTCTGCCTTCGCTCAATGGCAATGATATCTTTATTATACGGCGCACTGGCAAGAGTTCTTCCCAAGTAGTTCAACCCTGATCCAAAATCAACGATATGAGAGACCTTTTCCCCCCTGGTGGCAGTTACATCCTCGGTCAGCGACGCAACGTAATGAGAGAGATGTTCGACCTCATGGCGCTTTTTTGGTTTCATCCCAACCGCAACAGTATGTGGAATAGGCTCGACCAGTCGTTCGGGCTTGGATATAAAGTCACGCCTTAAGGAATGGCGGCGAATATCATGGATGTATTCAACAAGTGACGGTGGCGGCCTCAAGCCGCCTCTCCAAACGTTCGGTTCTCCATTTTCCCTGGACACCTGACTGTCCACCTTATCTCCACGGAATGGCTCGATGTCCTCTCTCAATAGGAGGTCTAGGATGTCTCCCATGCCATGGCTGTCAAAAAACTCCTGCCAGTCAGTAGGAATTATGGTGGAGTATATATCAGGTTGACGGGTCAAAAAGTCTAGAATATGAATACCACCACAAAGGTTTGACCACAGGACAGATGAAGTTGCGAACGATAGAAGAGATTCCACATAGCTATCGGCATCTCTCCATTCGTCTGAAAGCGGGAGGGGCGTTTTGGGTATCATTTAAAAACCAGAATAATCAATTTAACAACAGGCTTGAAATCCCCCGTTAATACTAGGTGTTGGAAGAGAAGGGAACTCTGAAGAGGCCAATATATGAATTTTCCAGCATGACTCCTCGTCACTGAGAAATTCCGAGAATTAATCTTTCGGTCTCCAAATCCGCCAAGACCGTTGAGCATCCCGACCGCCAAGCCCCGGCCCTAAACAGCGTCATCTTCAAGGTGTTATCAATGTCGCAGGACGACTCCCGGAATGATAGCAGCTCTCTAGCATTGAAGAATATAGAAGGTTGATGATCTTTCTTGCATTATAAACCTCTCCACGGTATTGAATCTCCTAGTATGGAGGCTAATGGCGACCCTTTCCTTCAAGTCCAAGCGTACGTACTGTACATAGTATCTCAACCAGTTGGAAGCACTCAGAGAGCCAGTTTATGTGGCTGTCCGGCATTATAAGAACGCTAATCAAGTTTTATTTTATAGAGACATCCTTTCCACTCTTAATACTACCCGCCCACTTTTCTCCTCATACCAGCGCATCCGCTCCCTCGCGACCTCCCCTACCAACCCTGAGCTCCTACAAGCACGAGAAGAACTCGAATCCACGCTTCAAGAACTAAGCACAGACCTTGAAGACCTTGTTAGCAGCGTGCGTGTAGTAGAAAACGACCCATACCGATATGGCATTGAGCTTGATGAGGTGGAGAGGCGGCGGAGGCTGGTTGAGGATGTCGGAAGGGAAATCGAAGGGATGAGAGAGGAGCTGCAAAAGACGGTTGCTTCGAATATAGGGGGTAGGCAAGGCCAAGCTGGTGGTGCTGCTGGTAGTGGCGGAAGAAGCGCGTTACCTAACCCATCCGATTTCGACAACCTACTGGGAGAGGATGAAGACCGCGATGACGACTATTACGCAGAAATGGAGCATCAAAGGCAGCTGGAGATGATGCATGAACAGGATGAACAGCTCGATGGCGTGTTCCGGACTGTAGGAAACCTAAGACAGCAAGCCGATGACATGGGAAGAGAATTGGAGGAGCAAGGAGAGATATTAAAGGATGTGGACACCCTGGCGGATCGCGTTGGGGGAAAGCTACAGAGCGGCGTGAGGAGAGTGGGACATATAATTAGGAGAAATGAAGGTAAGCTGGTGCCGCTCCTCCAAATTCCGCTACAAGACGTCTCTGCTGATCTTGATTTAAGATACAATGTCAAGCTGCTGCATCGCGGTTTTAATTATGGTTTTGATATTGCTATTAATTTTGGTCATCGTGCTTTAGATTACATGCAAGTACAGGGAGAAGGCGGAGAAAGTCAACGGAATCACGTCTTGACCTTCTTGCGAGGACGCTCCGGCTCATCCTCAGATGCGTCGTCCTCATCGTCTTCATCGTCGTCATTTTCCATGTCTCCGAATTCTATATCGGAATCGAAATCAGAAACGACGTCGTAGGATTGCACTACGCTGTAGCAAGCACAGATCGACGACAACAGGTAGCCGTCCTACCATAATATTCAGGCATTGGGCCAGAGGTCTTCGCCAAGGGAGATTGCCAACGACTCTCATCGGAAAGATTTCAGCATCGGCCAGAGTGTTCTCCTCGACTTCATCCTCCTCGTCCTCCTCATCAAACGCTTCTTCGCCTTTGATGATTTTGTCCCACTTCTCGTTATCTTCCTTGATGGCGCGAGCAGATTCTTCAGCGGTGACGTCTCTTCCGCGGTATCCAAACCAGGCGAAAAAGCTCAAGGCCATTGGGCTGCTTTCGCCTTCCTCATCATCCCCTTCTCCTTCGTTGGCGACTTCAGCCTCGAATTTCGCAACTTTCCTTACCAAGGATTCATACTCTTTCAGTTTCAAGCGGTCCTCGTTCGTTGCTTTGGGCTTATTTTCCTTTTTCATAAAAGCCTTCTCCGCATCCGCCAAGTCGCAAGCAGCATCCAGGAGCCCTTCCGTGAGATCCATTCCCTCCTTCCAATTTATCCTTACGGGTTCCGAAACCATGCCCTCCCAGACTCTCTTCTTTCCGCTGACCGCGGTCATAATATCCTTTCGCCAATAAAACTCTTTCACCAGCTTATCATTCTCGAACCACACATTGTCTTCGCCATTGTCAAACTCAAATGTGAAGCGGACGCTGCGTGGTTCTCCCTCGCCGCGCTCATTCACTTCAAACCGATCGATGGTGATATTTTTCAGACACGCACTAATGACCTGCGCATCAGACGGACGCACGTATTCGTCAATATCGGCGGGGGAGTTGGCGAAAACCCGTGGCCAAAAGTCCGCGTGTTGAAGCTTCGAATTGACGAGGGAGTGTCGGCGAGCGTACAATGGGCGCATCACGGGGATGGCTTGACGCACTGTTTTTAATTCGGATAGACTGTTAGTTTATCATATTCCTCCTATTTATTTCCTCACTAGCGAGGCTGTAACGATACGCAGAATGGGCACGATGAATAGTTGCAAATAAGAGACGCGCTAACAACGAAAAGGCGAATAAATAGCGCGCGTGAAATAGAAAAGGAGCAACGACGAAAGAACATACACATTCGAACTTCTGCATCGAGAAATTCGCGCTCCAGCAGCGCAATGTCGCGTCTGGCCTCCTTAGGAACTGTAGGCAGCTCAGGGCATTTCCACCCTGTCGAGGAGAGGGGACTTGCTCCGAGTCTGAAGACATATTTGTCAAATTTTGAGATTGCTCTCAGCCCTTAGATGTGAGCGAGAAGAGGAGACAAATGCACTTGCAGAGAAGTGTGAAAAAATAAAAAAAAGATCCTCCATCGACTGGGATCTCTTGACGAGCTTCACTAGCTCGACGTCGCTCGCTGATTTAGGTTTGCCCTCAGTGCTGCTTTTACTCAACGCCGAGCCTCATCGTCACCGCCATGATGCTGTTGAGTCCTGGAGAACAATCGTGCCTATCAAACCCTCACGAACGGCAAGCTCGAAACACTGCCCACGAGGCCTTGATCCATACGGTAGCCCCCATGATGACCACTCAGCATATACTTTCTGTTGCAGTCAATGACCAAGCGCAATGGCGCTGGGATGGAGGAACAAAGCGGCGCCGAAAGGCAGTGTTTGCCCATCTCTGCAGATTGGAGCTGCCTCGCTGAAACGCGGTCGTATCGAATAGCCCTCATTTCGCCGGTTTCGCTCTTCTTCGACAAGGTCAGTGGTTAAGATAGTTACTCAGAGTTTCCAGCCACTCAGGCAACGCTGTCGAACTGGTGGGATGACTTTGCGAACAATCTTGCGACTGATCTTGCCCCGTTTGTCGCCCTTTCTTGGAGAATAACGGGCGAGACGGTATTTGAGCGGTTGTTTGAGCACTACAGAACTTGTTATCTTCGCCATGGCCCGTCTGGACGCGATCACTGCCCCGGTGTCTGCAATTCGCGTCTGCGGGACTCCTTCCCTGATAGCGGAAATGTTGAGGCTGAGTTCTGCTCGTCCACGAACCGCGATGTCTGTATATTAACGGTGGCGCGGGTTCTTGGTCGCCCCAAAGTCCTGGAGGCTGTCCATGATCTCAGTGCCCCAAACCGATTATTACGCCCACGACGCAGTGTAACTTGGGGTTACCTCGCTCTAGAATATACCTTTTCGAAGGAATTGTTGATATGGTACTCTGCCGCTATCAAGAGTGAAAAGAGAGCCAGGTACATTCCGACAACTGAGGACTGCTATCACCAGAAACTGAGACCCGAACCCAGCAGCAAGATGAGATCTAATGACTCTCTAAACATGCTAATGTCTACTGCTTTACAAAAGAACAAAAGTGAGGGGAATGTAGTCGCCAAGATACGTAGGTGCTTGAGCACCGAGCGTAGCTTCCAGTCCACACCGGAACGATATTATATACTTCAGCTGGTAAGGCGCAAGATGTCTGGGGGAGGTTCACATTAATCCTGGCTGCGAAACGGGGCTGGCTTGGCCCTGGAGCAGGAAGTAGAGCATATTGAAGCCCGTTACCGCATGCTGCCGGGAACGGAGACCTTGACGCTTTTTAGGAAACATTGCAAAATGGTGCTACCGCAAGCTGCCGACGAGGATGGACGCATGCCTGTAGCATATGCTGCAAAAGAAGGACATGATGAAATCGTCAAGGTGCTCTCAGGAGGGCCAGGGGTGGATCTAGGTTTTCTGAGCAGGGACAAAACGATAGCCTCCTTCGCCGTACACGGTAGTCATACCGCTGCGCTTGAGATTCTATTAGCTACTGGCTTACACTAGATAGAAAGTGTGTTGGGGGCAAATCACCCTTCCTATACTGCGGAGAACGGACACATCGAAGCTGCTACGTTTTTGCTCTGTCAGACGCCGGCGTCCAAGCAGCTTTACGCTATGCTTCAAGAGAGGCCACGAGGAGACAGATAAACCGTTGCTGGATCGACGAAGAGGTTTATGCCGACGAAGAAATAGATTTGGAGGATCAGCGTGTTTCGTCTCGATAAATAGTGAGCGTGGCTGAAAGACGTTGATAGACCCGAAAGAGTAGTTCTGAGAAAAAGCATCCCCGTAAGGTTTGACTTCTACGCCTTTCTTCTGGTCCAAGTGCACAGTCAGAAGAACGTTCTCAGACTACAGGTTCAGGCGCTCCCCCTTTGCCCTTAGGCGGCATCGAAATTCACCGCATACCAACCGCGCTCTTCCAACTCTAAATAACGGATCTCCGGTGTGACCACCCCGTATCGGCCTTTGGATGAAGTAATCGCTGTGCAGAACTTGAGAGACATCGGTTGATCGAGGTTCCCGGCCCGGTCCGCTTACTGGTTCCACTCGTTCTTGGCCTCGGAAGACCCACTAAAAGGGTTGGCGGAACTCCGCGATCAGCCAAGGGCGGAGGCTTGGCCCCGTCCGCAGGGTCTGCATTACGCGTTTTCGCGGTCTTTCTATCGGACTACATTCTTGAATGACAAGCTGGATGACGATGAATGAGAAGAAATGGCCAAACGTTTTCCCTACTGGGCGCGCCCATTGGTGGCATGTTGGTGCAACTTTTTGACCATGCCCATAGGCAATGATGGCCAGAGGTGGTCAGGAAGCTGACCGTATCTATAGGGCGCACAGGGCGTGCACTCGGTCGTCAGAATACTGGCAATGCTTTCCTTGACCATTTTGTTCTCGCTTTTATAAAGTCAGGTATCTGTCCCAGAATATCTCATGGAACACGCATCTATTCCTTGGATATCTCAGTTTAACCGGTGGTTATACAAATCTATCATCTGGTCACCTTTTTTGTGAGATGATTTCGTCCGTGCTCATTACCGCGGTGATTGGCGCTACGCTTGCTACCACAGTGGCAGCGGCACCAACTCTAGAATGCGTTGAGTGTACCCTCTCACAAAGCTACAGACAAGCTCTAAGACTGACCGGCTCCGGGACAGTGCTCAATATTATCCAAAGAGTTCCCGGATAACGTCTTTGGTAGCCAGTCTCCGACCTGGGAGTATGAGAACAATGACTTTTGGTGTTGGTTATTTATCGTCCCCCGATCCGAGACACAAAGCAGCTAACGGAGTCTAGCTTCGACCGCCGTGCTTGATCCAAACTGCGTCTTTCTACCCGGCACAACTGCGCATGTTTCTAAAGCCGTCGCCCTATTGGGAAAGAATGATTGCAAATTCGCTATCAAAGGTGCCGGACATAGCGCCATCCCAGGCGCCGCCAACATTAATGACGGTATCATGATGTCTCTGGCCCGGTTGAACTCGACAGATATCAATATGGAAAATAGCTATGTCCGCGTTGGCGCTGGCACACAGCTCGGCAAGGTATACGAAGCGCTGGATCCTCACAATGTAGCTGCCGTTATTGGGCGATTCTACAAAGTTGGTCTAGGGATGGCGGTCGGCGCCGGTATCTCGTTCCTCTCAAACCGAGAAGGGTTCACGATTGACAACGTGGTTAACTATGAGGTCGTCATTGCTGGCGGCAAGGTTGTCAACGCAAATGCAACCAGTCACCCTGACCTATTCTGGGCGCTAAAGGGCGGGAACAACAACTTTGGCGTCGTTACCCATTACCACCTATCAATCTTTGAGACTCCCGGGGTTATTTACGGGGGCCAAATTACGTACCCTGCGTCCTCGCTCGATCAGCTTGCAGACGTCATTTACGACTACCATGTGCATCAAGCTGTGGATGATGTCCTTACGCATGCTCTTCCTCAATATGGTTACAATGGAAGTATGAATGAAACTATCGCTACAATTCCGGTTGCCTATAACGACGCGGTTGACGAGCTTCCGGAGATTATGCAACCATGGGTCAAACTTCCGCATACGAAAAGCACCCTTAAAAAGAGAACCTACGGTGATCTTGCTACCGAACTTAATGAGGGTTTTGCGGATGGACTTGTGTAAGTTAAATCAAGCTATCTACCAAGTGCTTCTCTATCATGGCGCCTTTTGGGATCGGCTGGTTAACGTTCTGAATGTAGCCAGGAACAGCGCGTCTTCACAGTGTACGCCGATGCACAATTCTATAAAGACGTCTGGTTCAAATATCGCCAGTGGCTCGAGAAATACCGAGACGTACCCGGATTTTACGGAAACCATGGGAACATGCCGATTACTCCCCGTCAGGTCCAACAGGGAGTTGCAAAGGGCGGAAACGCACTTGGATTGGAGAAAGGTCCTCAGGAAAAAACGCTAGGAAGTATGCCTTTTCTCACTAATGTGGCTCTTTGAAACTACGGTGGCCGAAAAGCTAATAACATATGACCACCCCAGTCATTTACTTCGGCGTCACATTCGACAATCTTGAAGATCGCGCAAAGGTTTTCCCTGCTCACAAAGAGTTCGTCGAATCGATGATCGAGTTTGCCAAAAGCCGCAATGTGCTTCACCCGTTAATGTAAGCGTCTCTTGCGTGAAACTTATCCTTCTAGCCCATAATATCACCCTAGATATCTAACCATTAAAACTGGCAGCATGGTTACATTCTCTGGATACGATCAACCAGCTATTGCCAGCTATGGAGCAACGAATGTCGCCAAGTTACGTCGAATCGCACGCAAGTATGACCCCAATCGTGTCTTCCAGCGCCTTGTCCCAGGAGGCCAGAAGCTGCCTTGTTGTTGGAGTTGAACGGGGGGGATAGGCCCAGCTCCTCCGGTTCTAGGAGAGCGTTCACTGGTGCCAGTATTGAGACATTTTTGTATGCAGATGACGGATGCTGGTAGATAACAGAGGCGTATAGCACAGACCAGTATACATTTGGATCCAACGCTCTCTGTTCACATGAGCACTCTTATGCCTCTCGTGAATGCGCACCCTGAAGCCAAGCAAATGACACCATCCCTTCAACATGGATAATTATTGACTTTTTTTTTCTTTTGAGCTTCGCTTTTCAGAAGGGGACCCTGCAGGTGGAGTCGCAGCAGGTAACTGATCCCCTTCTTCAACTCTTGCGGGCATAAATAATCTACTCCCACGTATGTATGCATACATCCCTCCATACAGGAATACCTCTGTCCCATCACATTCAGGGGGAGGTACTGTTGAAAGAAGAGTCGGTTTTATCATCTTCGATTTCTTTCTACCCTTTCTTTTTCATTTCTCACCTCCTCCCTTCTTGTCTGGAGGCGAAGAAGCGACGCTATGGTCTAGTCAACTAGTTGATCACTTGACGTGGTTCTCTATTGCTTGTCTTGAATAACTAGTTAACTAACCAGGTAGTTAACTAGCTAAAACACTGATCGGCTCCCCAGAAATGACTGATAAGCCAGGGAGACTACCCATTTTCGATAACGATGTGGCATTGTAAGAACATGGGTTAGTGAGCAAGGGACTGACTGGATGATCATCACGGACCGGCATTGAAGGTCGTGTGAGTGAAATCTGGGCAGCGAGGCACGGACTCACATGGTTATTCGAAAAATGGTAAGAAATTAAGGAATCCTGTGAACAGCGGGCTACAACTGCAAACATTTATTGCAGGTGAATACAGAGGACTAAAAAGAACTTTTTTTAATTTTACAGGGACCTTTTCGAATGCTATTACAGCTGGATGACCCCTTGCAAACACACGTTCCAGCCGCCCTGTCTTTTTTTTATCCTTCGAGATATCAGGATAGAATCATAAATATGGCCGTGTCGTAATTGTTTTAGATATTATAGTAAATGGGCCCCATGTCCAGGCTGGTTGCTCGATTGCGGCGTCCACCACCTCACAACATCCAATCTAAACCATTTGCCTCTTCTTCCACCGGAAACACTTCTCTAGCATATTCCTCCATGCTCCTCCACCCTTCCCAGAGCGTCCTGGCTTCGTCCACAAGCGGCAAGGCAACCACGCCATTTTGATCCGGCTCTGGGATGATGGGTTTACCGGCACGTGGACCGGTGGTCGGATGGTTGAATTCCGGGTTTGGGAAGAAAGGGGCGCGCATCTGTCCGAATAAGATCTCAATCCCTTCAAGTTGCGCACGGTATCCGGCCGGAATGGGGGCCCTGATGTCAATTCTAGGGACGTGGACGTATCTGCAGGGGCGGTCAAGGGCCCGGGAAAAGGCAGCGCAAACCTGCCTGGGGGTCAAAGTTTCAAACGACATGGCAATTCTAAGTGGATCGAATAGTTAGGCGGGTAAATAGCACAGTATAAGAACAGAATTGCGAGTCCCTACCGATGCCCATTCCATCTCTTTGGCCCATCCTTGAAGATTTGTAGAATCGTGGGGCCAACGTCATGTTCTGCGTCCAGCCACGGGAGCGGAATATCGGGATGGAAGGGAGCGTGCCATTCAAACCCACCGTCGGCAGTCAATTCCATGCAGAACAGCGGGTATGGAAGGCTGGTGAAGTTGTTGTTGTAGATACCAGCATACACAAATGTAGCAGGGAGGCCTAGTTGGCGCACATAGTTTTCCACAGCGAACTTGCAGCTCCACAACGGCAAGCTGAGCCAGCGCGGGTTGTAGATGGAATGATCAGGCATGCTACTGTATACATAGTGCTGAATTGTTCCTGCCCGCTTCGCAGCGTCAGCCAGAGCGCGCCCTATAGCTACCTCATCGCCGGATTGTGAAATGGTGTTGATAAAGGCGAGCTGTGCACCCTCAAACAACGAATTTAACAGGGCGTCATTGTTTAACAGAGGTCCTTTGAGAAGAGTCACATTGGAGAGACCCTTGAGCTCCTGCGGGATCACACCCTCCAGCGAATGTATCTGTGCTCGCACGTGGTACCCGACGGCGGAAGCAACGCGGATGAGCGACGCTGCTTGACGGCCGGCAGCATTAACAACGGCAATTGTTTTCGTTTGTGTCATTCGGATTTCGCTATCGGGATGGCAGTTTGGGCCGAAAGGAGGGATGCGAAATTCGACGGGACCGCTGTAGGAAGCCGTGGCGGGGGGGTAGCTCAGCTAACTAGCTAGCTGAGCCCTCGAATGTGCGACAAAAAAGCTGGAGAGAATTGGAATAAGTCAGCGGAGTGAACAGAAGCACAGCCGATATAGCTTGGATTACCTGAAGATCACAAGAAATCAATGCCCGCGGCTGCGCGTTCCAATCGCGGAGGGCTCATTCACAGCAATTCGGAGTTGATCCTTCTTTTCAGGTTGTTCGGGTATTCAACCCAGCTGTTCGGTAGAAGACGACAAAACGGCGGAGTTGAGCAGGAGTTCGACGGTGCAGGGATGAAGATACGGCAACAGCCCAAGCTGTTGAAGCGGCGTAAGGTGCGGGCGATTCAACGCATAGGTCGCGATTGCGAATGCGGATGGCAGAGCAGGACGGATTAACTAGCGGTGAAACTTTGAGGACCTTATGAACTCCGACTGATCGAGAGTCAGGTAGTAGTTGTGGGCTAAGAGGAAGAATCACTCAAGAATCGAGCTTAGCTGGAGGGGGTGGATTCGACGATGGACCTAGCGAGTAAAGCGGGGTTGAGCAGAGGGAAAATTTATGCCCTCGATGCGCTTGACTCTGTGCTGCTCGTTGATTCCAGTTCCAATCGTATTTCCAGACAGGAAGCGAAAGCAGACCAGGGCCTAGATATAGCGGGCTGCGATGCCCAGCTCATTATTATTGGCACCAGATAGGGGCAAATCGTGGTTGTAAGGGATGGTCGGTCAGCAAAGCTTGATAGCGAGAAGGCAGCCCGGGGGGCCCGAGAGGGGGCCCGTTGACCAGGGGCGCCAAGGGGGCCTCGCGGGTCGCTGGTGCTTAAAGGCTCGGCAGCTGCAGCCTATCGAGTCCCTACAAGTTGGCGCTGCTCTGGGCCTCGCACCCCCCAGGGCAGGCCTGCCGACTCCCGCCAGCCAATCACCACGCCACGATAAAGGCCGGTTATCTGCAAAAGTCAATTCCGCCCAACAAGCGCGGGCTCGCAAAGGTAGCTACTTGATCTCAGAAACCGCCCCAAGCAGAAGTGCGCGTTGGGGAGATAATTAGTTACAGCTGCACTGCACTCATCCACGCGCCAGGTCTTGCTTTTCCGGCGCCCTGATTGCTATCTGGACTTGGGCTTATTCTCCCAACAGTTCTTTATTTTTAGACACCAATCTGCGAAAATGGGCTTGGGTCCAGACCATCCCACGACAAATCCTTCAGCGACAGCGGAACGGAACCAGGACCAGGTGACCTCCAGATTCTGACCGCGCTTACGAGAACGTGACCCAAGCTGCTGCTCCCCAGGACCCCAGATCGCAGCACTCTGATGCCCCAGATATCCCTTGGTCATATCTTGTAATCCCATACTCCATGGTCTCCTTGCACTCTGTATCTTATGTAACCACCGCCAGCTGCACCTTCCCCGGCCAGGCTCTCTCCCCTCCTTCCGCATTCTCGCATGCACCTCGACGAATCGGGTAATCCACGGTGGTTCTTTCCTGATTGCTGGGCCAGGCACGTGTCGCCCGGGTTTAATATTTCTCCGTGCTGACTAATTGCCATCACCAACCGGCCAAACGTTACTCCGCTGGTCTGAGGAGTACATAGTAGCCTGTTGGGGGTATATACGATTGAGGCAAGACTGCTTCATAGGGTCACAGGCTAGAATAGTAGGCTATAAGTATAGGTCTTTGTAGTGAGGGTAGGTCAACCCAGGTAGTTAATACCAGTAACTCTGGGCTTTTTGCTCTGGAGGCCAGATCTGCAGCTGAGAAACAGACCAGCCCACGCGAAACCCCTGGTGAGCAAGACTTGTACAGGGTTACGGGCTCTCAACCATTCAGCTTGATTAGCCGAATTACTTTTGGCTGGTTACCCTGCGGCTGAATCCTTTTGACAGGTTCATATTTTTATATCATCTCAAGGGCTCTGGCTCGATCATCGCCAAATAAGAACAGATCTAATCATGAACTGACCATCCAAGAGTTACATAGTCTACCTCCAAGCCGTGGAATGAATTTGATAACTTTTCTTTATCCCAATATATGCCATGCCATGCCTTGCTAGCCCCCCTTTCACTCAAGAAAAAGACAAAATCTAACCCTTCCCTGCCGTTTAAATCACGATTTCCCATTCGCCCGTCTCTCCTGCTCCGAATCGGACGGTTTATTTAACTGATTCGCCGCCGCCTGTGTGCTCACTCCCGCGAGCGCCCACGCCTCTGGTCGTCGACGCGCATGCATTTCCGCTACCCCCCGCTCGTCCTCGTTCAGGTGTGCGCCCGACTGCCGCAGCAAGGAAACGTGGTCGACGAGCCCAGCGTTGGCGGCCAGGAATAGTGGCGTACGCCCTGCGTGGTTGCGGAGATGGACAGAGCCGCCGTGGAGGAGAAAGTATCGCAGGATACCGAGATTGGGTGAAGTCGCCGCCAGGTGCTGTTGCTCGCGTACTTTTGGTCAATGCCGCTGAAAAAAAGCTGTCGGATGAGAGCAGATGCTGGGAAAGAGGACTTACCAACGGGGTGTTTCCGGAATAATCCGCGTCGTTGAGTATCCAATCCTGCTCGACTCGCATGATGTCTTTTACTTTTTCCAAGTTTCCGTGGGCGATTGCGTAGCCGAGTGCAGCCAGGTTCTTAATCCGGTCGGGCAACGCGCCATCGGGATGCCTGAATACGGGATGTGAGTGTTCCGTAAGCTCACCCACCACGGAAATTGCCATGTCTCGAGCCACGGACTGCGGTGTTGCATCGGGTACCCCCAGTAAAAACGCCAGCTTCGTGAGCGCTGCTTCTGTGGTCATATCCAACCCTGCGACCACACCGGCCCGTGATAAAGTCATGCCTGGCGCATATACCGGGCTCACGCTCCCGGATAAACCTACACAGACACGTCAATATTGTTCGAGGTCCTGAGAGGATAAATCTTCCTGAGACAAGGGTAACTGCAACTTACACTGCGTCACGTTGACAATAACAATTCCCCGGTTAATAGCATCAGCAAGCACCTTTGTCATGGCATTGTCCTGACCTCCAGGTGCATTCCCAGCGCCAAAGGTTTCGAGAACTAGCCCCCGCAACCCGGGCAATCGAAGCACGGCATCGACCATCTCCGGCTTGATACCAGGGAATATCCGCAGACAGGCCACGTGAGTGGTATCCAGATTCGTTTGAATGCTGAAATGCTTGATAGTCGTAGGCTTATGCACCAGATCCCACTTCACGTGTGTGCGCATCGACGAGGTGATAGCCAGAGGAGAACAGTTCGGCGACGCAAACGCCGCGAAATCGCTCGCGGCGACTTTGGTAGCTCTATTCCCCCGAAATAGATTATAATTGAAATACAAGCACACCTCCGGAATCATGAAGTGACCAGCGATAACCAATGAGCCGAGCAGGTTATCTGTGGCGTCGTTCTGAAGTTCCAGCATGGGTGCCTGGGAGCCCGTTAGGATGACCGGCTTGCCCAAGTTGCTGAACATGAAGCTCAGCGCCGAGGATGTATATGCTAGACTGTCCGTTCCATGCAAAACAACAAATCCGTCGAACAGCGTGTAGTTCCAATAGATCGTCCGTGCAATCTGTGCCCATCCCTTTGCGTCAATCGAGCTGCTATCAAGCAGCTCCTCAAACTCATACACAGCGTACCGCACCCGCGCCTCATACGCACTCAGCGGCGTACGCAGTGTGGGATAGCTCTTCCGGTCCCCTGCCGCGTTGATGGCCACGTCGACCGGGCCAGGCGCCGAACCGTCATTGAACGTTGGAGAGGGTCGCAGGGCAGCTTCCAGGAACCCTCGGGCTGGGACGAAGCCGGCCGTGGAACGGCGCATGCAGATCGTCCCTCCTGTCATGATGATGAGAATGCGAGATTCCGGGTAGAGGCCATGGGCCCGTAGTTGATCATGGTCTTGCTCGATCGCCATGGTTCCCAGTGAGCCCATTGTGGTGCCCAGGACGTCGTGGGGCATATGGTATATATTTTTTTTATACTGGACGAGTATCGCCGAGCAGAGACTTGTATGGTAGCCTCTGTGGCCGTCTGAAAGCAGCAGAAATCAGGTAACAACTTGGTCGTCAAGCCCTCCAGGATGATGCCTGGACGAATATAACCGGAGCACTTGGTCTAGACTAGCGAGCGTTTACCAAGAACCAGGATCTATATCCAGCGTATTTTAGATGCCGACTGCAACAAATGGTAGCCTGAACCAGACCAATGCTGGGGTAAATCAAAGCTGGTCGTGTCTGAGAGAGAGAGAGAAGCAAAGAGCAGGTTGTCAATTTATTTATCTTCTTCTGGTCCTCGGTGGCTTTCCTTGATGTCACGCTACAGAAAAACTTTTTTGGTTTGTGCTTTTTGCCGGGAATACCCATCGGTTGCCAGATGCACCTCCAGCAAGCATGTAACTATCACCGAACAACATGGCCTTCAACTCTCCAGCACACTGCTGGGAGATTTTGTTTCCCTCCGGATCACGACTAAGCATCGCCGAGAGAAGAAGATTCTGTTCCCCATGGCTGTTCACAACAGTAAACAAGGCGAGATGCCTTCTCACCAGTCATTCTTTGCACATTGGCCTGCTCGCCAGTCGAATACCCTTGACAGCGAGGTTGATGATCGATCTATTGCCCATAGCAGACTGGAAATAGATTGAATCAAGCTGATATTTATTCCTCTTGTTTATCTGGGTTTCCAGTGACTCTTCCTGGTTGAAATCTTTCTTCAACTGACCTTTTCCTATGGATTCTGATATTGCGCGTCCAGCCAGCTGGGCAGCCTCATTTGTTGCAGAGAAATGGGCAGTGCTACTCCTATCGGTCACTCTTGTTGCGCTCATTGTGGCAACTATACTACGCTCTCGAAAGGTGTCCCGCAAGCCATCAAACCATCCTCCGTTAACGCTCTTCGACATGCCGCTCGACGTTGTCCTCCGTGTTGGTGACTTTCTTTCCACCGAGGACAAGATGGTCTTCGCCTTGAGTTGCAAAAGTGCCTTTGTTGCTTTTGGCGACACCCGACACTCCCCCGAGTTCAAGTTCCCCGTGAAGATAAGCCCCGTCGTCTTCCCGATGGAACGTATGCTCCCTTTCACGTCCGGATATTGGCAGCTGCTGCGTCGACTCGAAGACTCCCGCTTCCAGTGCTGCTCCGCCTGTCTCAAACTGCATCCGATCCGAGAATTTTCAACAAACGACCTCCAGACAGTCGCAGAGGAGCGCACATGCGTACTCGGGCCAGGGGCCGGCGTTGTCTATCTCTGCCCTTGTGTCCAACTGACCTTTCGCGGCGGGATGAAGCTGGAAGCGACAATCCGGAGATTAGCCAGGCAGCGCGATCCCATAATTTTCGAATTCGGCAATGAGTCCTTTTACTGGCGCAACTGGCATAGCTGCCAACATACCAGTGGATCAGGAACGCTCCAAATCGACCTTCTGGCTGTCGTGTGCGGCACTAACGGCTTGATGATACGATCCGTATATTCCTTCGAACCAAATGCCAACATTACTTTCGATCCGCTCGCTCGCCCAGACGTGCCAGGTTACTGCTGCCCACACCGCAGCGTTGCAGCCCATCTTTTGGATAGCTGGGGCCCGCGATACGAGTTTAAAACTACTTGCAGATGGTGCGGGACGTTGATCGATACTATTTCACGCAAGTCCATTGTAACCGTGAAATACTTGCGCACCACCGATCATCAGCCCAGGAGCCAGTGGTACTATCAAACCGATCGTGCGCTCGAGAACTTGGATGCTGCGGCTCAGTCGTTCCAGTGGCCAGAGAGACCATGGGGCTTTGGCTCCTGAAGCGGCTGGACTGGAAAACTTTTTTCACGTTGCATAGCCAGAGAGCATCTTGCAAGGAGGGTCAGGAGAGTTGTCTACAGTTATTGACTTTTTTTGAAAATGATCGGGAAATTTCTAAAAAATTGAGGGGTTTAGGTGGCTATTTTCTGAATACTGGAGAGTTGGGTGTGATTCTTGCTATTTCAATGTTGGTTTTCACTTTGCTTATGGAGCTTTGGGGGTACAAGGCGACAAGTCACACAGAATGGAATTCAATTTGCAACTCTTTGTTTTATGAATTCTCCGTTAGGAAGTATATACAATCTATCAGGTCATGCTATCCAGATTGAATGTGTATATCGCATTGGTGTATCATAAAGTCTCCAATGATGCCGCACCCAAAAGGTCGCGAGCCTAAAGACGTGGGCCAGTAACATTATTGACAGGCGTCAATGGCTTTCCATCTCCCAGGAAAAACGCCTCGATGTTCTCCATTGCGATTCTCTCAAAATTCTATCTCTTCTAGTCAGTCAAACTGGAGAGCAAGGCGACATGAGGACGAAACACATACAATCTGAGTGTCGATACACGCGCCGCCAATGTGCGGCAGCAAGGTGGTCTTCCAATTGTCCAGCAATCTCGGATTAATGGTGGGCCTACAGGGACTGTGTTAACAAGGTAGCTGTTTGGATAAAGCCGGGACTCACGCACTCGTCATGGTAAACATCCAGGCCCACGCCAGCCACGATGCCGTCGTCAATAGCATCAACCAACGCTTCCTCATCAATGCATTTGCCTCGAGCAACATTGACGACTCTTACTCCCTTTTTCATTAGTTTAAAAATATTCTTGTTAAGCAGGTGGTGCGTTTCCGGAGAGTGAGGGCATGCAAGGAGCACGCAATCGGCAATTCTCAGCATAGACTCTAGTGTCGAATGGTATACTGCACCTCCAGCCTCCTGTTCAACCTCTGCAGGCTTGCGCGTCCGGGTAAAGTAATGTATCTTCATGCCTAGTGCCTTTGCCCGCACTGCAGTGGCCACCCCGACCTGTCCCATCCCCACAATCCCAAGGATCTTATCGCGCGGGTTGTGCGAAGTCTCAGCGACCTCTTTCTCTATGGTAAAATAGTCTCCACTCCGTCTTGTTCGCAGGGTATGCTCGCAGAATGTGGTATTTCGGAATGCAGCTATGATGAGAAACAGCGCCGTGTCCGCAGTTGAGTCGTTGGCGCCCCCAGCACCGTTACAATACCATATTCCCCGTCGGCCCAGCTCTTCTGTGTCTTCTCTGTCATACCCGTGGTTCACAGACGAGATGATTTTCAACGAAGGGGGCAGGTGAGAAATGAATTCCTTATTGAACCGTGGGAGGTTATTGTGCGTATTGCTGGGGCGAATGATCCCGTCTATCTGCGAGTACTTGCCGCCAGGCTTCAAGGAGTTGAGTAGGTCTTCCTTCGTGGTACGGGTATACGTTAGGATGTTGAAGTTTTGACAGAATTTAGCCCACTTTCCACGGTTGGGCTCGCGAATCGGTGCGCCGACAACGAGCAGCGTCGGCTTCTCGACAGCGCTGGCGGTTGACATGATTCTTCGCGGGGGCTTCAGGGTATGGGCGAGGCTGTGAAAACGCAAACCGCGCATGAGCTGCGATCGGATTTCTGCAGAGGGTAACGAGTGGTGATATCAACAAAGATCTCGAAAATCTGTCAATGCACCACAGACCAGGCCTCCCCGGACCCGAGCCAGCATCCCGGCGCGAGTCCATCAAAGGGCGCAATGCCGGGGCGTTGGTTTGGATGCCGAGCCGCGGAGGCCCACAGCAGCTCCCCGCCACCGTCACTGCGAAAGCTCGACAGGCTGAATCGCTGCATTTTTGGCGATAGAAAGCCAGCGAAAGCCTGGCTTCTCGTGCAGAGGGCTCCGTCTGAACTGGCGAAGGTGTTCGTGGTTTCTGATCCAAAGGAGCCGTGAGTCTTGATGCTGAGTCAGCCATCCATGTCCAGCAGCATTGAATCGAAGCGGATGGCTTGACATCCATCAGGGAATCAATCAGGCCTTCATTTTCAAGAGTCTACTCCATAGAGCTGAGCGACAACCGGTCAATCCAGGTTGAATGACGAAACTAACTTCCAGGTCCTGATACTGCATGCAATAGCTCCATTCGATTCTGACCCTCCTACCCACAAACCTCACAACCATGGAGCCGCCAGCAGACGACCTGATCAAATACATCCCCCCCAGCGCAAAAGCCTCCCTCCTCCCCCGAAAAATAACCTCAATCGAAGTCGTAGCCCATGAAAGACTGCCCGACGGCGGCAACCACTGGGCCTTTTACCTGCACACCATCCCACCAGACGCCCCGTCTGAAACCGCCACGACGGCAGCAACAGACGACCAAATCATCCAACTCGACGTCTCGCCCTCGTACTCTATCCCCTCCACCGTTCTCCCCGGCGGCTCAAAAGCGTTCCTCATCCTCTCCACCAACCCCCACTCCCTATCGCCGTTTGGCACATTTACAAAGCGCGTCCCGTTGACTGTGCGCCGGAAGCCTGATCTGCCCACCGTCCAGGAGCTGGTGCACCTGTTGACTGTTACCCAGCATCGGCATCGGTATGAGTTTGATGATCACGGGCGTGGGTGTCGGTTCTGGGTGCGGGATCAGATTCCGTTCCTGCTCGATGAGGGGGTTGTGACTGATGAAGAACAAGCCGAGTTGGCGAGGGAGGCGGTTCTGTTGGAATTCCCAGATGGTAAGGAATTCCCTATCACGATTGGGAGGTATTATTAGGATTTTACGGCTTGGATATTTTTGTCTTTCGTATCCTGGAAGAATATAACGGTGCAGGAGTTGCTATTTTTATCATAAGCCGCATATTTGGAGTATGTATTCCGTACTCCGATTAATTTGGTCCCAGGTTTTCTACTAGAAAATAAATCTTCTACAATGCGGTACATCAACAAGATTACTAGTTTATTATTGTGAAGCTCATACTACTCATAAACATAAACAATACGTAGGAGACCGGATCCTATCTGACCCTTCCTTTTTGCGTTTTTCATATTTTCTCGTACAAATGAACTGGCTTCAAAGGTCATAGAGAGACCCTACTAGAAAGGGCAGCAAAACACTTACTTGAACCTGTTGAAGCTCCAAACAAGCGCATAAGGCTGGGCGCGAGTCTTCGTGGCAAGACGATGGGCCCGAACGCGGATTTCCACCTTGCCAGCCGGAATATTTGTCCAAACAACCTGCTCGACGTTGTTTGCCCTATCAAATCCCGGCTTCTCACCCATGTTTCCATGGCGCTCTTTGCCATTCGATGCAACGACGATGAGGTCCAAATCGTTCTGCAAGGTCTCACCAGGTGGATCGGACCACACAAGGGTCACTTTCAGCATGTTTTTGACGCCTGTTGATGCTTCGGCCCCTGCCTCAGGGATATCGACGGTAATGGAGTCATCTTCGTCGAGCCCTTGTCGCCTATTGATGGATTTTTCATAGTACTTTGCGTATTTGTCGTCCTTTAGGATGATTGAATTTTTGACGTTCACGAGACCAAATCCAGAACTGGGATTAGGCGATGGGCCAGCTTCGGACGGGACGTATTGGCCCGCGAGTTTGACAGTGCCATTGATAAGCAAAGCTTTGATGAGCGCGGCACTTGGATTTGATGTCCCGTTCTTTATCACGCTTTCGCGCAAGACCGCGACGGCACCGGCTACGAGAGGTGTGGCCATGCTGGTGCCAGCGAGGAACCAGTAATTCGGGTCGTCGCTGCGTCCATATGGCTCACTCGGGTTCAAAAGGTTCCGGGAGCGAGCGGAGAGAATGCCTGTTCCTGGTGCAACGACATCAGGCTTGATCCGGCCCTCCTTTGTGGGACCTCGACTACTAAATGCAGCCATGCCCTCGGGATTATTGGCCATCAAGTCAGTGCCGAAAGGAGGTGCTGGCCATCGTCTACCGTATTTGACGGGGAGGTTCGGGCGATTATTCTCACTCGCACCGACGGTGATGCAATTTTTGGCCGCTGCCTGGGAGCCAATCTGCTTTTCATCGATGACCCCGTCACGATTGACGTCTGCACCGTCATTTCCGGCAGCAAATAGGATCACCGCGTCAGGGTGTTCCCAAACAAACTTGTCTATTTCCGAGCTGCTCGCATCGTACGGTAATTGCCCGGATGAGTTTGATCCCCAAGAGTTGGTGTGGATCTTTGCATCGTCCTCCTTGTATGGCTGAAGGAAGAGGTTGGTTAGGTCGTCTGGAATGCCGCCCAACCCTCCACGGCTGTCGAGAAGTGACTGCACGACGAGAGAAGACTTGACAGCAACACCCCGAATTCGTCCTCCCATTGTTTGAGACTCCCCATCCCCAAGGACTGATCCACACACGTGTGTGCCGTGGCCGTCTGGGTCATCCGCTTTACCCAACGATGCCCTTCCAAGAGGGTATAGCTTCTTGACGCGTCCCTTGAAGGCGTGGTGCACATCTTGCATGCTCCCTTTATCTAATCCGGTATCTCCAACGGCGACTACCTGGCCTTCACCTTCATAGGCGGTCCCGTTGAGTTCAACCTCACCGTCTATGAGCTTCACGGCTATGTTATTGAACAATTTTGCCGGATAGGCCCTCTGGATGAGCCGCACGTGGTCAAGAGCAGCCAGATCCTCGAGGTATTGTTCCTGGACCGCAAGTCGAACTTTAGAAGAGCTGATATCAAGGCCATCGGGATCCACGCGGGCGGCAGTCGCGATAGCAGTTTTCAGAGACTCGGACTGGGTATCGACATCATGGTGGAAGATGACATCAACTTCTCGGACCTTGCTGGTTGGGCGCACCGTCGGAAAAATCGACATGGATTGGGCTGTGGGCGTAGCAGATTTCAAGGTAGGCTGGATCACAAAGGTATCCAAGTAGACGTTTGCCCACGCAACAAAATCCAGCGCTCGGATTTGCGCCAGGTCACTGTCCTTGTAACCACACAAGTAGGTGTTTTGTGACACATATTCATGGATCACGACACCAAGTTGCTCAAGTTGATTCTCTTGCTCATCGGAGAGAGGTGCGGTGGTTTGGACCAGGATGTAATCGGATTTGGATGCGTCTTCCGACTCCAAGTGGAGGGCCCTCAAAACAGGGGCTTGATCTTCGGGGTTAAGCTCATTCCCGTTGATGGAAATGATGGCCATGGTTGCGGGTGTATCAATTGATATCAACTGCAAGTGAAGCTAGAAGTAGCGAACTATGGTGGAGCCACAAAGACGGGGTGAAAGATGATGAAGAGGGAAGCCCACGGCAGGCGAAGAGCGGCTTTTTAAAGCGCAGCTTGAGGAGCAGCCGAAGCGAACAAGATTAGCTGGGCTTTCCAGATGGGAGAACGAACGGCCGTCAAAAGGAGGGGCCGCCGTCCAAAGGCTTCGTGGAGATGTGCCCAGGCGAGGAATAGCAAACGCATCACTGGGAGGAGAAGCGAGTCTCGACCAACCTTGTGAGCCTGGCATTCAGCTGCAGAGCGGCAGCCTTGTCGCCTCTCGCAACCTGTGCGTGTTTTCTACCAAGATTGTGTTCAACTCTGTTGCTTGTGACGACGTCGAGGCGTAGCTCAGCGTATCCCATTGGGAGGCCATCCCGTCATCGTCGTCGATTGACCTATTGGGCATCAGTTCAGCCAGCAAACAAGCTGAACGGCAGGGAAACAGGAATCATCGCGGAGATCTGGTGGTGTCCGTCAGGCAATCCTCTGCTTTGGATGATAGGCGAGACTGCAGCATCGACGGAGGCTGGCCACAGCCTTACAGAGAAGAGAGTTTCGCGGAGCAGCCATGAGTCCGTGACTGGTTGGAGGCTTGCGCCGTCGCCCAGTTGCCCAGAGACGCAAATACGCAATGCTGCTGTTCGCGGGACGAAGGGAATGGATCGGAAACGTTAGAATTTTCGGACGACCGGGAGTAGGCTTGACTGTTTTTGTTAAATATCACTCTCTGCGTAGCCATCTCATCATGTCAATTACCTGCACCGTGATCTCGGTTCCGACAGATTTGTTTCGATTGACCCTTGCTAGAGTTGTGATACCAGTGCTCAGCGGTGGCTTTTCAGCGGTTGGCTGTCCACTTTCCTGGGAGAATTCGGGTTGAAATTAGAAACATTGATGATCAGCCAGGGCAGGGCTTGGGACATTAACTAGTTATCAGCAAAAAAGACTTTTATATTGGCTGCACTCCGTGTTTTTTGCTATTATCAACAGCGCCAACAACTAATCAATTGGGCCTGCCTCCACATGTTCCTCTCATCAATCCTCCAAGCCTGCAGACTGCAAATGGCAACGCGCGATTCTTGTTCTGTTTTCCATGCCCAGCGCCGGGACTGACGGATGGCTTTTGGTGCCTGCCCCTTGGAACGACCAGTGGGAGGCAGTGTTTTTTGATTGCCCAGGGTCATCGATGCTAGATCTGAACGCACTAGCACGAGAAGCGCCGAGCACCAAAGCGATGAAACCGTCAAGACGACGCCCAAGACGTTGAAATCGCATGGCCATGGATGGACATCGCTGACCTGTGTTTCACAGGCGACAGGGCCGTCGGTGGAAATGGTTGGCAAACAACCAGCGATGGCCATCCCGGAAGAGGCCAACCTCAGCGGTTAACCTGCCCCCCTGGTGTAAGATTATAGAGAAACAGAACCGGCTCTCCCCCCCGCGGAGACTCTGATCATCGTGACGGCAGGGCCCGCGAGGATGGAGAAAGAAAGGCCGGCGCCAAACAACGCCTTCCTGCCCCTGGTCGCAGCGGAAAAAGTCTCTTTATGAGCGAGCGTCTTTGCACGAGGCATCCCGCCTCTTCTGTCGACTTCTCGTCTGCTTCGTCTTCTTCCTCTTCTGCCGTTGCTGTCGCTCCTTGACGTTTTTTCCCTTCTTCGTTGTGAAGCTGGCTTTGTCTCTCCTTTTGATTCCAGACTGCTTTGCGACCTCCCACAGGGCTCCTCACCTTGATCCCCCGGCCACTGGTTGTCCGATCATTCTTTGGGCCTATATTCTGTGAGCATCAGGACTGGGCCGCTCATCCAAAGCTGGACTTGCAATATCTACACTCTCTTCTTACCTGACCCCTGGATATCAGAGCCTTTGCTGCACTGCCAGTGTGTGTGTGGGGAAGCCACACCGCAGTTCAACAAACAAATCTTCACAACAATTGCAATTTCTGCCTCTTAACTGTGATATCAAGATTGCCTGCTGCTGCGCTGAAGACATCCAGATCCGGTGAAGGGCAAGCTGCTCACGTGCTCGCCTATTTGGTTACCTGGGAGAGGCATTGTGTTCCTCCTCCTCCTCCTCCTCTTCATCCTCTCTCACCTCACCTCTATCATCTCTCGCTCTCTGTTGTGCCGTTGCTGTCCTCTCTGTTCCCATCACGCTGTCCGCTCTGTTCTGTCGGTCTCTCTGTCTTTGGCCAGCACCCTGCTCCATCGACGCCTCTCCTTTAGCATATATCTATCACTGCTGTCATTCGGTCTGAACTTCTGCTTCGTTCCAAACTACAGCTTTACTATTCTACAGTGAATTCCGCGTTTCTGCTCAAGGTATGTTCAAATTCGCAAATATCAGTTGCTCTCTGTTGTTTTGATATCCAGCTGGACATGTTCATTTCCAACTTGCAATCCCCTATCTGTTCACTGTTTGTCTCTATCTCACTCATAAAGTGACGGCTTCGCTCTGAAGTTCTTCTCTGTTTTGCCGTTCTCCCCCCGCAAAAGGTGCTGATTCGCTCCCATCTTTTTCCGTCACTTTGATATCAGCTTCGATCCCAAGCGAACTTTCGCTCCCAAATTCACTTCCCTCATTTTTTATTTCTCACTACTCTAAATCACTTTGAACCCTTTTTTTTTTTCTTTGCAATCTTCACTACAGCATCTTTCCACTTTTCCCTTGTTCATTTCTCTCTTCGCTCTGAACTTTTGCGTTGTTTCGCTCCCAACCTTGCCATAGAGGCTCCAGTCAGATAAAACATCTAACCAGACAAGATTATAGCCCATTATACGTCTCTGCTCTCGAGCAATCTATTCTTGAACTAGGGTTTTCTTACCTCTTCCAAGGGAGAAATTCGATACCCTAGGTCAACATGCGGTTCAATCCTTCCCATCTGGCTGCAATCGCAGTTAGCCTTATTACATTGATGGCTCCTGTCATGGGTTTTTGGAGACTTCCTTGCCGTGGAGTTCTAACCGTGGCGAGAATCGATCCTATCGTGGATCCTGGAATCCCGTCAATGCATGCCCACTCTATTCATGGCCCCAACAGTAAGTGGTGATATTCCCTGTTTGCTCAGCATGCCTTTAATCCATTATACCGTCTTGGCTGTCCTGTTAATGTTCTATTAGATTTTGCAATGGAAGTCACTAGCGATGACTTGCTAGCCTCTGAATGTACCTCCTGTGAAGTCGTCCAGGACAAATCGGCCTATTGGACTCCAAGCTTATATTTCATCAATCCTTCTGGAGAAGCTGAATTGGTGAAGCAGGTTGGAGGAATGCTAGTGTAAGTCTTTTGACAGTATCTTCTGGGTCGCTTTCCAAGTTTTCTAATAGCACTTTCAGCTACTACCTTCCTCGCGGCGACAATGTCCAAGCGTTTCCCAGAGGTTTTCGCATGTTGGCTGGTGATACGTACCAGCGCAATTTTACTCTGCCTACCCCAGATCCACCAAAGGCTGTTTGGGCGGAAAAAGACAAAACGCAGTTTTCTCTGGGTCAAAAGGCCATCGGTTTCAATTGCCTGAACTACGACAATCCTCCTGAACCGTCATTGATGCGACACAATTTCCCTGATCGAGCCTTTATCGACTCCAAGTGCAAAGATGGGATTCGTATGGAGTTAGTTTTCCCGTCCTGCTGGAATGGCAAGGACATCGACTCTCCTGATCATATGTCTCACGTTGCCTATCCGGATTTGGTTGACGTCGGTTCTTGCCCAAATGGGTTTGAGAAGCGTCTTGTCACTCTCATGTATGAGACCATCTGGGATACCATGGCATTTAAAGGCCAAGCAGGTGAATTTGTGCTTTCGAATGGCGACCCCACAGGATACGGATACCACGGTGATTTCATTGAAGCCTGGGAAAATGATGTGCTTCAGCGAGCCATCGACACCTGTACAAATCTTTCGGGCAGAGTTGAGGACTGTCCTCTGTTTCAACTTCAGTCTGAGGATGATCAACGGAAGTGCACAATTGAAAACCCCAAAGCTTTAGGGGGTGAACGTTATGACTTTAACCCTGAAGGATTGCCTGGTAAGGTCCCTATCATCAGAGGACCAGGTTATGCATTGCGTCCGATTTCTTCTCCTTCAGCTCCCGAAACAATGCCCAAACCAGTTGTCCCAGATCCTAAGGTCAAACTTCCCCAGGATGACCAGCCAGTTGTGCCACGTCCAGAGACAACAACAGCCCCTCCACCTCCCACGACACCAGCCCCTAAAACTCCAGGTATGGTGTCCGAAAAACCCAAGCTGGAGCAGCCCTACACTACATCCTATTCTACAAAGGGCTCAACAATCTATGAGATTGTTATTATTCGGACAACAGTCACAAAAACAGTTGACTTACCAAGTCCAACTGCACAGGCAAAGCGTCACGAAAACAGAAGTGGTGTGAAGGGAAGGTTCCGTCGTCATGGACATGCCTTGAATCACTAGACTTAAGGTCACAGTGATGCATAAGTTTTCGGGGAGATATGTTTCTTTTTTGATTTCTGATATTGTGCCCAGTTTAGGGCTGAATGTTCACGTGCTACCTCATCTGATACCCTGAATTGCTAAGGTCATCTAAACTAGAAATGAGAAATGCATGCTACGTCTTATTCTCTCTTAGATCCTGCCCATCCTTGTCCTCATTTAACAGGGATAACATCCCTTTTATTGACTTGGTACTAGGGGATTAAAGGTAAGGGGAAATCCAAGGATAAACCTAGGCTCTTTTAAAGGAGAATTACTTCTTTTATTCCGTCCTTCAAGAGGGTACGGAGACTGTCTTAGATTCGCCTAGATTATCAGATACATTTTCCTCCATCAACTACCATATCAGTGCCGTTGATGAAGGCCGCTTCATCGGAAGCAAGATACAAACACATGTTGGCCACATCGTTTGGATCAGTCAGTCTGCCTAAGGGGACATTCGAAACGAATTTTTCTCTGTTTTCAGGAGTGTCCGGGACACCGACGAACATTTCGAAAAGCCCCGTGCCCGAAAGGAGAGGGCAAACATTGTTGACACGGATTTGATGTCGGCCATATTCTGCAGCAAGTCCTTTCGTGGCCTATGCAAAGATCTCAGTACGTGCTGCCAGGGGATGGCAGAAAGCGGAGCAAAAACTTACGTTGGACACTGCTCCCTTTGAAGAGTTATACCACACTAATCCCAGGCCTAGGTCTCTGTGCTCCCGTGGAAGAGACATTGATTATCGAGCCACCTTTACCCTGATCGATCAATTTCGGAATAAAAGTCTGCGACGCCAAGAATATACTCTTCACGTTGACGTCAAATACACGCTGGAATTCCTCAATCGTGACTTCTTCCGATGGTTTGTTGCGGTACGTGGTGCCAGCATTGTTGACGAGGATGTCGACGTGGCCGTGCGTCTGGACAGCGGAAGAGATGATGGACTGCCAATCGGAGAGCGAGGTTACGTCCATTTTCTGGTATGTGATTGCGGACGGGTTCTGGGAGGCGACTGCCTCCGCGCCTTTGGTGTTGATGTCGCCGATGACGACTTTGGCGCCTTCTTGGGCGTAGCGGACTGCGATGGCAGCGCCGAAGCCAGAGCCGCCACCTAGTTAAAAGGGCAGTTAGTTGGTTTGACGCTTGTCAGGAGCTTTGGGGTAGGACGACGTTGAGAAAATGCTTACCGGTGACAATGGCGACTTTGCCTGCGAGACGGGATCCTGAAGTGGACATTGTGAATGAATGGGAGTGCCGTTCAATTGATGCTGGGAATCAGGCTGGAGGGGTTACTTCAATCCTTCTCTTGGACAAAGCGGGGTTCTCGCAGTGTCTTGTATTGGGTATCACAACGGCCAGGGGGATGCCAGTGGTAAATGCGCACAGCTGGTAGCAAAGCAATGCAGATGGCAAAATCCGTTCATAAAGATCGCGCCAGCATTCCGCGTCTCCAACCGAGGAATATCTTTCGTGCTTCTTTTTGCCAGCTCCTGCTTTCCCCACACCGTCCGCGCCTGTTGGTTGGTGCTTGCATGCGGGGAAATTCGCCGATGTCGGGGTTAGCTTGGTGTTCGGAAATAAATGGCCAATCAGAAGCTCAGAATTGATGAGATAAGCAGCACGTTGGTCGGGATGGCGCCGAGTCTAACTTATTTAGAACTAGTGCCGTTTGCAGTTGGGGAAGACGCAAAATGGGGAAAACGATGAGAATTTGATATTGCGGTTCTATTATTTCTCTCTTGTGTGCCCAAGCAAAGCAATGTCTACACTTTTTACGTCCTAAACCTCGAATCCAAAGAGGCATCCAACTTTTTCATTTCAAACTGCCCGACTTACCCGGGGATGTTTGCGTTTGTTGCATGGCCGGTGCCGGCTCCTGTTCTACGAATTTCGTGATTCGTGCATTCGGGAACCACTTCTCCTCCGGGATAATCCAATACGACACCAGAGCCAGGATAGTCACCCCGGACAAGATGATGGGTGCATCTACGATGATTTATTAGCACTCGCACACACTCACCCGCAGAACGAAGAATATGCGACTCACAGTTTAGGTTCTCCCCCGTAACAGGGAACTGATACGGTGAAAACAAAACAGCCACCACCCACGCGTTCCAGAAGATGCCGATAATCTGAAATGGCCGACTCAACCGCCCCAGGCTCCAGCGTGCCTTGGGAAATTTCTTTGGTGTGAGGAACACCCGACCCAAGCAGATCAGACCGTATGCCGCAGCGGAGGGGACCCCAGCGGCGGAGACGAGGGAGGTAAACGCCACGGTGGACGGGAGGATGGTGCATGTCACGACGGCAGCCACACCCCACACCACAAGGATGGCGTTGTGCGGTTGTCCGTTGGGCGAGACTCGGGAAACCCAGCCTGAAAATGGAAGGACACCGTCACGAGCGACGGCGAAGACGAGACGGGAGGCTGCAACGATGGCGATGGTGGTATTCTTTTCCCGTATGTGTTAGAAAGGCCGGTATCGAAAGGAGAAAAAAGGGCGTGGGAAACGTACAAACCAATAAGCTATGACGCATATCACGTTCATGACCAGATGGGCTCGTTTGCCGAGCACGATTGCGTACAGAGGCACGAACGGCTGTGGTGATCCAAACGAGAATAGTGTCTCAGGGTCCGGCTGTGCCTGTTAGCTCTGACCTTTTGGTCTTGGACTCCCCATGGAGGCTATAACTTACAGCACAGAATAAGAAAAGTACAATCGTCACTCCAGCTCCAAGGCCGCTCACTACCGTGCTCCAAAATATTCCCCTCGCAGCTGTCAGTGACGCATTCTTGGTCTCCTCGGCGATGTGGCCGGAAGCATCAAAGCCGATGAGAATACCCGCAGTGGCGAGGAAGGACAGACACCAGTTCCAACCTGCTGGGGCGCCGGTGCCGTTATATGTCTCCAGAAAGGCTTCGTGAGCAGTGCGGAAGCCCCACGTGTTATGAGCCCCGATGGGGAGCCAGATGACGTTTAAGAGGAAGTCTAGCAGAACAAAAGACGAAGAAAGATAGAAAATCCACCTGAAATATTTCGCTGCCGTTGTTCCATCGTCAGTTCGACCTTACGGCCTTGAAAGGTATGTCAACGTACGAGGAAGGAAATTCACTATCGTGGCCAACCCAAGCAGAACTTCGGTGCAAATCCACTGCACCGCTCGGAATTTGATACTATCCACATTCTTAGGAAAATCGACGTCAAAAACGGTGAACTCCTGTAGGACACTTGTTAATCCTGTCTTTCCGCCTTTGTCGCGGTGATTTATCTCCTGGGGGATTGAACATACAGCAAGCATATAGTTGACGGCCGATTGAGTGTTACCTAGCCGGTCCTCCAAATCAGCAAATGACGCTTCTTGGGGCGAACGACTGTTTGACACATCGAAGTTAGGAATCCTTACTTGCACAGAACGTCGTCCATGCGGTTGTACTCCACCATGCAACGACAAAACCTAACAGGCGACCATATTTCGGCCCACCAGCTTCGGCGGCCCAAAGGTAAATTGAACCAGCTGACGGCAGTGAAGAGCATATCTCTGCGATGACTGCTGCGGTGATAAATGTGAAGACTGCTGTAATTAAGTAGTTTATCCTATAAAGAAACAGATCTATCAATTCGCCTGTCTGGGTTGCAACGGATGAATTCGACAATGTAAGCAATCAACTAACCAATATGCCAGGTTACCGCCTGCAGCGATTCCAGTGCTGAAAGTGACCCGTACACCTCCGACAAAGTAGAGGGCGGCTATTGATATGCATCAATCAGTCAATGCTGCCATTTGATTATGGGTGGCTAATCAACGTTGATCTGAACACTCTTTTACTCACAGAAGGTCGTTGAGAAGCTTTCTAGCAAGGAATATGTTCGATGAAGAACCTAGATACGCCAGACGGAAAGGTCAGGTTGACTGTTCCATCTACGCAGGAGTTTCCACTGCGGCATCCCTAGAACCGAAGAGCATGTTGTCACATACTGGTTTATATCCCAGTGACTCCTAGTGTTATGGGTTAGCTCTCGCTATCGGCCCGGTAAAACTTCAACATTCAAAGCACGCCAGACCGAATAAACAGTTACTCGCTGAAGCTTCCAAAACATACCAGTAGAGCATCATCGCTGCCAACTTCGCTCTGGTCGGCAACGACTTCATCGACATCTGCCTCCACCACGGGAGGGGTGGAGATCATCTCTCCATCACGGGGAGCCATCGTAGCCGTTGGACGTCTTGCGAATAGAAGCTTGAGAAAAGGAGGAGTAGGATCCCATCAAGCATACATAATAAGTATGCCTCACAGCCAGGCCCTTCTTATCTCCCGTTGAATAACGATTCAAGACGAAAAAAAAAAGAAAATTGCTATCAAAATAATAGCCTTTGAAATCATCGTGGGGGCGTAGAACCGACAGGGGTTTCCGTAGAAAAAAGTCAAAAACCAAAGCATGCCATCCGAAAGTCAATTTGCGTTAAAAGCGAAAGAAAAAAAGAAATGCAGGAAGGGATACGAGAAAAGTCGGCGTTGAATGAGCCCTTGTCCCCGACTACCCCGACCACTTGGTCGAAATGTTCCCGTGATGATCGAAGATTGATCTAACCGTGTGGATCTGCCATGTCGTTGGCAGGAGTGAGGTCTCAACTATAGACAGGGAGTTGTCGTATAGCGACGTCAAACAGCTTCGTTCACCGGGCCGGGAGCTCGGGAGCTACATAGATCAAGACCCGAGTGCCGATTTTCAACGACATTGCATCTGTGATTCCAAACAAAGTGCTGCGGCTTGACTGAAAATATTCTGTGTCATATGCATCCAGGGTGCTAGTTGCTGTCGAGGTAGCAAGAATGATATGAAAGGATTTTCGATGAAGTTTCTAGGAAGAGAAGGGGAAAATATGAACCCGAGAGTCACAGAATGAGGAAGCCGATGGTCAGAAATGTATTTATTCCTTGCCCTCAAAAAAAAATATTCAGAGGTAATCTGTACAAAAGCACCAAGAAAGAATGAGGCCATCAGGCAAACAAGAAACGCACCGATCCCAAAATCCAATTCCCAAGAAGTAAAGAGGCTTCTTTTAAAAGTAATAAAGGGAACAAAAAAGAATCCTCATGCGTCATCAAAACTTCATACGCAAGAAGATAGGGAGATTCACGAGTCCAAGGTAAACAGTCAAAGGTCAAGTAGCCGCCCAACCAGATTGCAAAGATGGGAAAATGTATTCACTAAATTGCTTAATAAATGAGAAATCGCCTTCAAATTCGAAAAGCCGAACAGAGCAAATGGCGCGGCCGTCGGAGAATAAATCTCGTAATCATGGGATATCTCTCGTAAGGAAGCATGGATTCTGGCAGAAAAGTCCCGAGGAAAGAAACAACGCTGAATTCGAGATGGTTTGCTGCTTTGAAAGAATAAAAGTGAAGAGAAGCACAGCATTATACAGTAGGTTGTTGAATCGGGATTAAGTAATTTTTTTCGTCCTGATCATGGATCCAAGCCCGTTTAGGGCCTTGCCTGCCTGGCTCATATTTCCGCCCTGGAACCATTTCATGCTTTTCGACGACGAGTGTTTGTGTTTTCGAGGGGAGGACCCTTCAAATTCCTCGTGGGAATCTTCTTTCCAGCTGCCTAAGCTCTTCTCCTCGTCGACAGCAAGTGTGCGTGTCCGGTTCAGGCTGAGTCCAAATTCGGAGTTGTGTCGACCGTCTCGAAATCTAGAATCAGCCCTAGAACTCATAGACAAAGGACTTCCAGAAGGTCGGCGCTGAGTGGGAAAATCGTCACGATTCGGCATCCGGTTATACCGCTGGGTGAGGCTCCTGAGGCTGCTGGTATCATGAGTTGATTGATTGGGTTTACTTGAATTGCTCGTCACACTCTTTATCGAGCGGGCTGACGAGCCAACCGGCGTCTGCTCGATATCTGGGAAGAGGTGGTACGATGGAGCGGTGCGGGAGCTGCTATTGCTCTGTGGCCGTTGAAAACGGTCCGGAGGCGGTGTCAAGCGTTGTACAGATGGTTTCTTTGGTTCTGGAACAGTAGCCTTAACTTGAGCGCTCGAGGATGGAAACTGGGAGGGTGATGACTCGGTATGGGTCTGTCCGGGGGACGCCAATCGGTTTCGGAAGCCACCAGACCGGGGAAGAGACAGTGTTGATTTTTCGTCCTTGTTTTGAGCAGACGGACTGCGGCTGGTCTGGCTTTGGACAGAATAGCGAGAGGATGTGGTGCTGATACGACGAGAGAACCGGGAGCTTGCTTCCAACGGCCGGTTTTCCGGTGGCTGCTCAGATTCTGAGCCCGAGCGCCTCCAGGTTTCTTCGGGAGAGTTCCAGTTTGGGAGGGAGAATGAAGGGGTTTCGAGGACCGATAGATTTGAGGAATTGGAGAATTGCATAAAGTAGGAGCCTCGTCTCTTCTCTTGCTTACTACTGCTGCTCATCAACCGAGTAAGCCGGTTCTTCACACTCCCAGAGGTGCGAGGAGGGTTCGCAGCGACGGGCTTTGATGGTGCCAGATTGAGAGGAGATGGTCGTTTCTTCTGTGGTTCCGGTTCAGGTTCAGGTTCAGGAATCGGAGGTGTGGTAGAGGGCGTAGAGGCTGGACCAACGGAGATTAGGCTGGGTTTGCTTTCTGGGACCCGATATACAATCGAGGTGGCAATCAGAAAGTGAGCTTCCTGCCCCAATTCGTCGTCTGAGGACAGGATCTCGGAGCATATCGAATGGCGGAGCGGGCGTGTTTCTGCTTCCAGTATCATGGACGAGAAGAACTTTGCGTTCTGGAAAGGCGGAGAGTCTCGATAGGGGCCGTAGGATTTCCGCAGCTGCTTTTCATTCTTCCCCTGTTGGGGCGATTTGGGCGCCATGAGCGTCAAACAGCTCTCTCGTCTCCCCTTGACAGCGGGCGATCTGGGAGATTCCGGTCCAGGAGAGGGACTGGGTAATCGGAAGGTAAAGTCCTTGTTGGAAGTCTGCGCAGGCGATCCACGGGCGTCGTGATTACTATTATGATTATTATGATGCTCAACATCCAGGGCGCCCATATCGCTGTCCACAGGCGAGTAGAGGTGATCATCCGCACCCGGCAAGTCGGATTCCGATTCCTCTTCCTCTTCCGATTCGTACCGGACGGGCATCTCCTGCTGGGCAACGGTATGCAGTTTGAGAGAAGTCATGATGTCGTCCATGGCATCCCGTTCACCAAACGCAGCCATCGTTCCGACAGCCATGGCCGCTTCTCACTGGAAGCGCCTCCTTTTCTGCGACTGGAGATTGAAATCCCCTTTCTGGCGAATCCTTTAGAGAGCGACGACAAGCGATAGACGCATGACCACCATGCTAGTTAGTTTAGCACAGTCCTTAATTTCCGCGATGTCTTAGTATGAGAACCATCAGATTGCAAAGTCAACGGGAGCACGATGGGCAGGTCGTCGGGGCGTAGGAATAGAGGGAGATTTGAATGGAATCGAAGCTCATTGACAGCGCACATGTGAAGGAGAAGAGCATTGGGTTAAAGGCGAGTCTGCGGCCGCAAAGAGATTCAAGGAGGCAAGGAAAATCTCACATCGATCCATAACTCACAGTGTAGGAGGATGACAAGGGGGGTGATTCAAGCAATGTTAGGGATCCCAGACACTGGCCGGGCTAGACAAGACACCAGCGACGAGAGCACCGTTGCTTTCCGCCCTTTATGCTGAAGGGAGAGAGGGAAATGAGGATGAGAATCCTCAAGTGAATGCTCGGGTGCTCGAGATGAACCCAGCCCCAAGCGCACTCTGCATGTCACCCAAGGGCAGAACTGAGACTCCCAGCAGCCCTCACAAGTGACGTCCGCTCGGGCCCCTCGGTGCAGGACGATGCAGGGCCTTGTCCGCGATTCGTCTGTGGCAACAAACCTTCGATCGGCTGGTCTCAGAGCCAAAGGGGACCCGACGCTGCCATTGGGCCACGAAAGCCTCGCGGGCCTCGATTCGAGTTTAGGCCCAAGGAACGAGCAGACGCCATGTGTGCCAGTGTTGCAGGGGGCACAGCGCAGTGCTGAGCCGGCGATGCCAGGCTGCGTGCTGCGTGAGCGGCGTCGAGAAGAAGACGAAAATGGCGTCTGTGGAGCCAACGGGCAGCGCATCTGCATTTTCTTCTTTCTTCTCCAGAGAGTGATTGGCATCCTAACCCGAACGAGCTGGAGCATCCCTGGAAATGCTTGACTTGAAGGATCCTTGGGCGAAGATCAAACTTCCGCTGCTGGAGCTGGGGTTACACCTTTCGACTGGACACGGCTAGTTATATCACGGGCGACTATGGTGAACCCATTGCGCTGGACAACCATCCCGATGTATCACCGCTGGCCACTTTGCTGAGGTTTGTTCCTGAGATGCCAACGTGTCTCCAGTCCAACACCCAACGAGCAGCTCTTCGCCCTTGGTTGGGTGCCTTGCACATCCCGAGACCTTGCATTTGCATTCTTCGAGACGATCGCCAGCATCCTGGCTCGACCCAACAGGACTGGCTTTTCTGTCGAGCCGGACGTATAAAGCCTCCTCAGGCCGCTTCTAATAATACGACCCTCTGGAGAGCACTTGGACCTGACTGCCAGTCTTGCTCGGATAGCCACCTTGGAGACTGGGCCCCGTGAGCATCTACGCTATACTTCCCTTTTCCGGCAGAACCTCCTCCGTACAGGATAAAGAAGGGCCAACATTCCATTGTCCACGGGACCTCTCGTCCAACGATAAGCGAGATGAGAACCTAATGCTCTCCCTGACCCAAGCTGTCAAAAGGATGAACCTGGGAGAGCACTCAGCCAGTCGTGTGTCCCGGACTGGCTCTCGGAAGCAAATACCGAGCCCGTGTGCCTGGTGCCCCTCGGTTATATCTGAATGTTCTTATTGAATTCTTCCCCCTGCACGGGTGATGTAACACCTGCTGCGGGGGAAAGTCCTTTGGATGGCAGTATTCGCAACTGTTTGAGCTTTGACCGGATGAAACAGATTCTGTCTGCGGGACGACCCAGCATGCCCATACCCGTCCCTACAATTGTCCTAAAGATTGTCCCACGGACTTCTCTCTAGATCTTCTCCTCGTCACTCCCGGTGTGTCAGATTTTCCCGATTCCATTGACGCGTTCACTACCTACCTTTCAACTATCTTTGCGAGGGCAGCACAAATTTCTTTTTAGTCGAGACCGTTTGCCACTGTGCTTCGAACCTCAAAAAGGTCCCGCGTTTCCCAGACGGATAATCGCATTCTCAAACATGCGTCCCCAGTAATAATAGTAGCAGGCCTCGCGTCGATCGGTTGCTTTTAACAGTGCAGCTCCAATAAAGGGACAATGAAAAAATCAAGAAAAAAAGCAACTCAAAGATGTGACTTTTGTCAAACCCAAATTCATCCACACGGATTCTCTCCTTGAATGGAGTCTGCGGAACAGGCGGCAGCAGAGCGTCATGTAACTCTGCAGATGGTGTGGAGGCGGGGGGACAGTGAACGGTGGGAAACCCCCTATCTACAAACAAGTTCTCTGCAGTTCCATTGCAAGAGCTTGAAAGAAAACATATGCACATACATGCGGGAGTACAGCATTCTGCATCCAATCCAACAAGAGGTCTTTCACCGACCTTTCACTGGCTTTGCCCGGAGTGCTCACATCTGCATGCTCAAAGGCAATCGGGACAAGGGAATAAGAAGTACCAAGCTGTGCAGAAAGGAGAGAGCTTAGAAGCAATTGGATTAAAGTAAAAGTAGTCCCGTCATCTCTCAATTATTGTATTATCCTAAGTCTTTCTATTCAGATAACCATGGCAAATGTTACATTGGGTTGGCAAAGGGAAAGAATAAACAACCAAGAAAAGGGGCCAAATCATAACAAAGAAGCTGTTTACACAAGTTGGTTAGAAGATCGAAACGGAGAAAAGAGATACAATGTCAATATCAGACACTCTAGAAAAGAATTCCAGACCACAAAATGACCATTGGAAAGGGAAGGAAAAAATGCAAAGACCAAAAACATGCATATTACAAAACAAGTATGTGATCGAACCCGTCATTGTGCCACTGAATGACAGAAATAAAATGTATAAAAAGTGCCAACTTCCCTTGGTCCATGTTCTCAAGACAGGGATCGGGAACTCAAAACAAGTTCCCGTCCATCCATTTCATGACCATTCCTCTTTTTCCACTTTTAAAAAATTCAAAACATCAAGGAGTCGAATCTGCCGTAACAAATGTCCGATGTCTGCTCGCATGAAGCCGTGCAGATATTTGTGCAGAGGGATTGCGAGTGCGCAAGGTCATGTCAATATCCTTTCGAGTCAATTCCCATCGTCTTCGTGTTATGACGTCAACTAAAGAAGTTCAAAACATCGAGCTTCTACGCTTTTCGCGAGCGGGTAACTGGACCACTGGCGCGCGCAGACGAGGTGGCATTTCCGTTCGTCTGAATGCTTCCATTAGCATTACCGTTCATATTTCCGTTCGTAACTCCGTTTTCTTTGTGTTGCATGCCAGGCACTTCGAGGTTCTTCATCGCGATCGCGGCTTGCTTGCCAGTGTTGCGTCTTGGGCGTCCACCCTTCCCAGTCTTCTTGTACGTTGCAAGATAGAAGGAGATGAATAGGACAAGGTACGAGCTCAAGATGATGAGGCCGGAGAAGGCAGCGAATTCTTCTCCTGCGCATTTGCCAGCGTTGGGGAAATGCGGGAAATAGGTGGATGCAAAGTACGTGTATGAGGCGAAGTAGACGAAGCCTAGATTTAACAGTCAGGTCAACACATTGAAGCAGGGAATGGGCGATGGAATGCCAGAGCGTACCAAGATCAATCACAAACTGGGCGATCTGGAGGCGAGTGATCCATTGCTTCCACCAAACACGCACACCACGAGCGCTCTGGAAATAGTACCAGTACATCACGACGTGTACCAGGAGATTGAGGGTGATTGGCACCCAGGAAACAGCAGTCAATCCAATCAGCTGAGTGTAACAAAGCAAAGCGGTCGCGCCATGGTGATAGGTGTGGAGGAAGGTAAGCGGCTTCTTCTTCAAGACGAGGAAGACGGTGTCAAGGAGTTCGATGTACTTGGTGATATAATTCAACTATGGCACATTAGCCGCGTATTCCAATATAATTGCAGTCGAGCTGGAGGGTGCATCATACATAGTAAAGGACGACCAACGGCTTGGTCCAGCCTCCTCGGTGGTCACAAATCGCGTAGAAGACCCCATGTCTCCAGAGGGTAGGCAATAGCTGCTCGATGAAGAGAGCTAACAAGCAGCCACTCGCAAGGGTCAGATACAGGTTGTGAATCATAAACAGCCCATTCAACTTCATGGCCGGGCGATTCCGCATCAGCTCCCGTCCACCAAAGATGATGATGTAGTACGATACTAGGCCGATGGCCGTCTCTTTGAGCGTCGACATGGGCGTCTGACCCTGAGAGAAGTGGAAATCAGTAGGGTGGTATCCGGCAACGGCCGTGTAGGCCTTGTCGAAGATGGGCCATAGCTCGACACCAAAGGGACGATCGAGGGTCGGCTGGGGAAGGGACTTGAGGAGTTCGAGCGACATGATGGGCCGGAAGAAACGGGGAGCGAGTTGAGTCGGGCGTGCTATGAGATGAATAAGAGAACACTTCTCATTTGATCTCTCTCAGAGGCTGCCTATGTGTTTGATGAGGCGTTGCGTGCTGCTGCGCACACCCCCGAAAAAAGGAGTGAATGGGATGAGAGGAGACTGAATGAAAAGACGGGTCCAAAGCTGGGACGGCTCCAAGAGGGCAAGCAGAGAGAGAAGTGCAAATATTACAAAATCATTAGATAGAAGCAGAGAAGAGAAGAAATTTCGAGAGATTCGAAGGTGTGAAGCTGAGATTCTGTTTTCTCCCGCAAAGAGAAAAAATATTAGGAAACCGAAGATGCACTCGTTACGCCATTGTTACCGTCTTGGGAGTGAAAAATTAATTTGTTTCTCCCGCCGAGATCCGCGGATCGCCCCGTTTGATTGGCTGCGAGAGCTGGAATGGACCCGCAAAAAGGGGAGAGGCTTGGCGCTATTACGGGCCAATACACAAATACACGCGCGCATGTGAATACTTCTACACCGAGTATATATATACAGCGGACTTGAGGCAGCAATCATGGAGAGACAGAGTGAGTGTTGGCGTGCAGAGGCTGCTGGGCTTGCGGGATCGTTGATCTCATCCATGGTGACGTCGCGAGGAGCTTAGACCGTGCCCTGCGCTGCCATTCGTTGTCGGAGGCATAGCTACCATTATCCGACGAGATTCCATACTTTTCAGTCCCAAGGTTGGCATGAGCCCGGCCTTCCCGAGCAAGAATCGCTGTGTTCCAGTAATAAGTTCCGTCGGCCCGTTTGATGATTATCTAAAGCCTGAAGGCGTTATGTGCTAGGCAAACAGACGTGGCTATCATCATCGCAGGCCGAATGTACTGCCACATGAGGAGGATGGAAACGACGCGTAGCTTGAATATATGTAGCATCGAAGCATCTTGCTATCCTCCAGACGTGGACTTCTCGCAGAATGTACCCCGTTTAGAGTTGACTAGAATATTTAGAGCTAAATATCTAGGATCGAAACCACTCAAGGCGAAAGGGTCACACGACGACGGGCATAACGCGGCTTGGACACTGGAGCTCATGAACATAGCACCTATAAGGGCTAGCAACCTCGCACTGGTCTGGAATTGAACAGTTTCGTGTGGTCCTTTGAATCGAAGTGTGAGATGCTATGTGTTCCACAGCCATCAGCACTGCGGGATGCTATTTAGACAATGAAATCAGAGAACAGGGAGATGCAAACACGATATCCTTTTGTAAATAGGTCTCAACAATGGATTTGTGACAACTGCTGGTGGATTTGCCAGCGAGAAGCATGCTGGTTGTTCTTTTATTTTGTTAGTCCTGCTGTGGTTGAGGGTTTCAACCACGGAGGGATGGCTCCGAAATCTCCCACTCACACCACCAAAAATCCTGAACGTCACTTCGTCGACTTCCTCGCCGCCATCAACATCAACAATCCCCCCCGTCCGGGAGTATTAATGGTATCAATTTGAATCTTCCTAACCGCCCGCCCTTCTTCTCGCCCCAAATGTCTCCCACAACCCTCCTCCGTGTCGCTTCGCGCCGAACGCCCGCTACGTTCTTCAAGGCTTCGTACTCTGCGCGATCACGACTCCCAGCGGCCGCTTCGGCTTCTGCTCCTGCAATTGTCGCTCTCGGCGGTGCCAGTGGCTTCAGCACTACGGCGAAGAGATACAGCGCCGGCCACGAGGAGGAGACCTTTGAGGAATTCTCTACCAGGTAGGCCAGTCACTTGTTGCCAAGTCTATCAACAAACGAGATGCCATTGAGTACCATCTACTCCGTGTACGGCAATCGCTTGTGGAAAGGATTCTTTTGGGTCGAATAGATTGTGAAAGTCGGTTGGATGGAGTTGGATTTGAAGACAACGTGGCTGATGGTGTTGTCTCACAGATATGAGAAGGAATTCGATAGCGTTCAGGATGTCTTTGAACTCCAGGTTAGCCTCAATATTTGCACATCCCTCTTGTTTAATCCGATCGCTGGGCTTTATGTGCAGTGGTTTGCTAACGATTGGGCCGTTTTGTTGATACAGCGAAACCTGAACAACGCCTTCGCTTACGATCTTGTCCCATCGGTTGGTGTCATGACCGCCGCCCTCAAGGCTGCGAGAAGAGTCAACGACTTCCCAACTGCCGTCAGAATCTTTGAAGGTTCGCTGCATACCTAAACGTTTTCAAAGCATCACTTATGGCAAGATTGAGTCTAATATATCAATTGGGAAACAGGTATCAAGGCCAAGGTCGAGAACCAAGGTCAATATGAGGCTTATCTCGAAGAACTCAAGCCCCTCCGAGAGGAACTCGGCGTCGTCCTCCGCGAGGAAATGTATCCCGCAGAGAGCAAATAAACTAATGCAGCGGGCAACCTTGTCTTACCCAGAAACTGTAGCAGTACCATTGGAAGGTGTTTTTCGTTTCCTTTTTTGGCAAGACGGAGGCTGTCGGATATTTGCAGTGGTGAGATATCATACATGGTAAAATTAGAGATATCGAAGGGGGAAAGGGCTTTGGTGAAATTTAACGGCCCTTTACCCTTCCTTCGTGCTGCTTTTGCTTTATTGTATCTCTTTATAGCACAATGTAAATCAGAACGAAGTGATCCATTTTGTGAATGCCATCCCATATCGATATGGTTTGGGTCTGGGGTGTATATTCTCATGGAATGCCAATCATTTCATATCAATTTCCACATCGACTTTTGATACCTGTCTTCATATATAACCAAGAGTGGATAGAAATTTACCATGCACAGTATCGCGAATTTTTATGATAGATGATAAGAACCAAGTCCAATGACTTTATTTATACAATATCCGGTTAGCCAGGCTGTATGCTTTGAACTGCTAATTGTATTAATCACGGTTCATGTAGGTACCCATCGCAAATCCAGAATGGAAAATGAATCAAGTCAAACGCTGTCAAAGAACCCGTAAAACCGATATAACCTTTCCGCCAAAGAAAAATCTCGTTGTCCAGAGCCATATCCATTCTAAACGCCATAATGTAGTATATACCCGTCGCTCAAACTCGGTTTGCGCAGAATAAATTCCCAATGAAGCTGCGGTATTAGTTTTCAAATTTCCATGCTGAAAATCAATTCGAAAAGGAAAAGGAGGAAGGGTCTAGGCGGTAGTGTGACCTATGCCGCAGGGGCACCTTATGTTACAAATGTATGAGATACTCCGATATGGTGCTTCTAGCTCCTTGATCGCCTGAGGGTTTATTGTCTGAGGTCCGGTGGCGCTCTTTTATCAGCCGGTCCCAACATATTTGAACCAATTGGCTCGGCAGTCCTCAAGCTGTAAGAATGGCTCTCCGGCGTAGAATTTACCTGGAGTACAGCCTTTGCACTTAGGCGAGTTCGGACAATTAAAATAAGGGATATGGTTATAGCCGATATCTCGGAACCTAATGGCCGTCAAGTTAGTATAACTTGGCCTTTAGTAAATGCTTTTGCATGCCTCACCAGTGGATCTTGTTCTTATCCTCAAACAATCCCAAACCGACTGAGTGTACGGGTGCGTCACCCCATCGCTCGTAGAAAAATCCACCAGCACGATCAAGGTGATTGAAAAAGTCCTCATACGCCTTGCCTCGGAAGAAGGACAGATCTCCGATCTCAAAATTAGACCAGAAATGGCAGGTGGAATATCCATTTGCCTTCTGGTTATGTTGGGGTCTCTGCTTGTTGTCCACTAGCCAGTTCATTGCATTATTCGGGTGCAGGTATTCAGGATGACCTGCTAGAAACTTGACCGTTTCAGGCCATAATGTTTCTATACTTTCTGGAGCATCGTATAGATTGATTGTGAAGCCGTAGGTCTTGTTGTGATCTTGCATATATCGGAAGACATCATAATCGACATCGCAGAAATAGTGGACATTAGGCTCAACCCGCCAGTAGTACTGCATGTTGGCTAGGGCCGGGTGCTTGTAAAAGATGCCGCTATTCCACCGACACATTTGGTTGTACGAAAGCTTGCCACTGTATTGCACACCCTTATCTTTCAGGAGCGCCACGGATTCTTTATATAGATCCATATTTATCCAATTGGGAACATCCCAATGTTCCTTTGGAACCAGCTCTACCACGAATATCAGCGATCAGTCCAGCAGAATCTTGTATTTACGGAGTCGGTGCATACCGTAGTTGCATTTCGCCTTTGTTTCCGCCTGCGTCCGCTTTTTGAATTCATCTGAAAATGGCTGGTCGTTGAAAAAGGTCCAGGGGTAGTTGAATTTGCTATTCCACGTTCTCTCCAGCTCTTTCATAGTCATGATCAGCTGGTCAAGCTCCTCGTTGCGAACGAGCGAAAGGAGGGTCGCATTAAGCCGAGCGGAGTTGGGATTATTGGGTGCGTACGCGTCGCCTTCGGCTCGCCATAACTGACCATCTGGTTCCCCGGTAGCTGCAGCATTGTCAATATAATGAAGATGAGGATAAAAACAAAATGCGAGCGAAACCTACGATCAGATAGCGGATCATGCTTCAGCCCATTGTCAAACGGATCCACAAACTTGATGAGAGAATTGGGCAATCTAGAAAGGTGGAAGATAAGGAAGAGACCAAGGAGAACCCCCGCCGCTAAAAGTAATCGAAGAGGCCTTGCGACAGCCATGATGACATTCGAATCCAACCCTTCTCTGCGAAAGGGCGTGGAGCGGGAGATATTTCTCTCTTTTGATTTCAGCGCCAGACGCTTTTTCGAGCTTCAGGGCGATCGGATTATATAATCCGGGCTCCGGGCCCTGCTCAGGGGTAGCAAAGATGACATAAGCATCTAGAACTCGACGAAGTCAGACTGACGTCCGGCATCAAGAAGAAGTATGCCAACTGCAGGACAGCATTCGAAGGCTCTCAATTCCTTGCTTAACAAATAATAAGCATGGCCACAGCAATTCAAATCAGTGCTTTAACGGATGAGCTCATCTCAATAGTTGCTAATATTTCAGATAGCGTAAGCTGGCAACGCGTTCGATATACAAGAGTATCGTGCTAATGGCTTGTAGAGTTCACCTCGGTTCAAAGACCTAAAGTCATTGACTCGAAGGCTTTTGAAGCAGAGTCCGGCTTGCAGAACGGACAAGTTCGAGGTTGCGAGGAGACTGGATGGTTTGCAGGAGAAATTCCAAATTCTAGGAAACGACCCCTTAGCCGATGCTCTCCACCAGCGGCTGGTTGAACTGGATGCGAGAAATCGTTATTGGTCACCAGAAGTTCTCTTCTTATTGCTAGAGCTGTCTGATGAGCCTGCTACCAAGTCGAAACCGGGTGCAATCGAGCAACTCAAGCCACCCGATCCACCGCCCGTTCTCACCTGGTCTGATTTGGGCACTTCCGACCTTGATCAAGAGAACATCTGGGACTTTATCGACTATACAAATGGTTCGTCTGATGACAACCTGTCTACAGCTTCAAGCGACGTGTCTATTCCCCGAATCATCCCGCAGAGCTCCAGGGTCCCCTTAGATGAATTCATCCCTCCAGGAGATATATTTCTAAACGTAGAGGACAAAGCGTTAGTCTCATCTATACAAAAATCTTTAGCCTGGAGAAACGCGTCAAACGGCACGAGTTTTGAGGAGAATTCAGCCTTGACGGAACTACAAGTTACCCGGGAAGTCATCTTTATGCTTCAAGGCCTACCAAACTCCTTATTCCGAGATGTACAAGACGCTATTGAGGTGGATCCCAGGTTCTCTATGAATCATGCCTCCAAAAAGGCACTTGGGTCAATACTGGGGGCTTTTGGTCACATTGGCGTCTGCGTTCGAAGACTCAGGGCGTTCAGTGCGGGGCCTTTATTAATACCCTTCATGCAGATGTTCCAAAGAGAACTGGAAAAATTGGTTTCCGAGTTTAATGAATTCTTATCAAACAAGCAGATTCAATGCTCAGCGAGGACGGGGTCTCCGCTTATTAGCCTGCTCGAACTGTTCGACGTCGTCCACAAAGAAACCAAGCTTCTTGTCGACTTAGCTGACCTTGTAGCGAAATATGAAACAAGTACAGAGCAAAGAGAATTTCTTTGTCTTGATTTGCTCTACGATTTAACTTGTGCGAAACAAGCGGCTGCCGAGGATGGAGATTTCAAAACTATCGCCAAAATCTTCCTCAGATGCTTTGAGATCTATGCAAAACCGATCCAGCTATGGATGAGGACAGGAATGCTAGACGAGTCCCTCGGCTCTTTTTTTGTTAAAAGATCTGCCGGATCTACCGACCTGAAGCATCTCTGGCAAGACTGGTATGTCTTGGAGAAGGCCCTGAGTGAATTCTATGGCCCGAAATTACTGCGCCCAGCAGCAGAAAAAATATTTACTGCCGGGAAAAGCATGGTTTTTCTTCGAAATCTTGGTGTCCTGCCGGAAACTCTAGACTTAACCGAAGAGCCTATAATCGCTGATGTCGATATCTTTTCAGAAAAGGATATATCACAGTTGGTACCATTTTCTGGCTTATTGCAAACCTCGCTTGGGCGACTGATGAATGCAAATCACGCGATTGCTTCATCTATTTTGAGAACGGAACTTGATGAAAAATGTGGCCTTTGGCTTTCATTGCAGGCTCTCGATTATATATACTTGGCCAAAGATACCACGCTTTTGATGGCGGTTGACCAGAGGATATTTGATTTAATTGACAAGGGAAGACAGTCGTGGAATGATCGCTTTTTATTAACTGAAAATTTCCAGCAAGCCTTCGGGAACCTGTCGTGCATCAATGCCGATCGTATTATCGCACGAGCTGCAAAGATTTCCCCTCGAGATTTCGAAAGGCTTTGCCGCTCTGTCAAGATACTAAAAGCTCTGTCCGTGGATTACGTCCTACCATGGCCTATCGCGAATATAATATCAAAGCAAGCCATGTTAACCTACCAGCGGGTCTCAACATTTCTCATGCAAATCCGTCGAGCGAAATATGTGCTTGAGAAACAATGTTCCAATAAGCCAAAGCATCTCCGGCTTGAGGGTTACACTAAAGAGGACATTCTTGCATTCTCCATCAGACACCACCTTCTCTGGTTCCTCAATATCGTCTATTACCATTTCACGGAGCTTGTTGCATTTCCATCCGGGAACGAATTGCGAAAGGAGATGACTCACGCTAAAGATGTGGATCAAATGATCTCTGTCTTTCAATCATTCACTTCTTCACTGGAAGAACAGTGCCTGCTTTCGCAGCCCTTAGCACCTATCTACCAAGCCATCATCTCACTTTTTGATTTGTGTCTCCGATTCTCCGACGTCCAAGTTGCGCGCTACGCAGAGTATCAGCATGATCAGGCAAATCAATCAACCACCTATCTCCACCTGTCTCGTCCATATCGTCGCCGTCACCGTTTGGCATCGAAAGATGAAGATACGAGCTCAGACGAGGATGAGGATGACAGCGAAGAGCACATCATAAACGACACGATGTTCGGCGACGGAAATAGCACCTGTATATCCTTTGCGGAACTATCATACAGGGAACGATTGCTTGATGTGAAAGAAAAGTTTGACCAGCTTTGTGGTTTCATTAAAGCCGGTTTGAGAGGCGTCGGGCGGGTCAATGGTCGAAATAGTTGGGAGATGTTGGCTGATAGGCTTGAATGGAAGAGCGACACTCTTGTGTAAGTTAGATTATTAGGACACTTGTTGGAAAACGGATTGGGGTTCCTCCTCACACCCCTTTGCCGATTCGGCTACGATAATAGAGACTCTGAGGATTTGAAAATTTTCTATATTTCTCATTAAGCATCAAAGCCGCCTCTTAACTTTTTGGGCAATCCTCAAAATTGCTTTGCACACCCTTACCGATGTAACCAAAACCCATCTTTCTCCAACATGATGGCGAATAAATTATAACAAATTGAAAACGGCAGTGCAGATATAGAGCGAGATGATATAGCAAACACAAGCCAAAATAAAGAAGAGACGTGCATTTTTTTAAAACAACGGGTTTTAAACCGACCCCATCT